TGATTGAACAGCCTGACCAACGTCTCCAGCTTGTCTCTCTGCAGACGCCGTGTGGACACGATGGAGGAGGAGGACCGGGGGGGGGGGGGAGATGCCTCCAGATGAAAGGTGGTGGGGACACATTAACACTCCAGAGGCGCGGCAGCAGGTCGAGCGTTGGGGGCCAATTGGGACTCGACGACTACAAACCCGTCTAGATATCTGCTGAAACGGAGAAGATCCATCCGATCCATCGTCGAAGCCTCTGACGCTCCGTACAGGCGGGAAAAGGTCTCTTCCAAACATTCACTTTGCGTTTTTTCTCCCATAAATGGTGACTGAATCCGCCCGCAGTGAATTTCTTCGTCAATAATCGTCCAACAAGAGCGCCGGCAAGTTGCTAATCGCCCGTGAAATGAAGTTCTGGATTCTCGTCGTCGCCCGGGAAGCTTCTCCGAGGTGAAGGTCGGTGCCACACCTGCGGCGGACCTGTGGCGAGGTGAACAAAGTTAATGGTTTAATATTTAAAGTGCCCTCCCGAGGGCGACTGCCAATCATCACTGGCGGAGCGCTGCTGGCTCATTATGCACGAGACGTCCACCCGCTTTATTTATTCCAAAAGAGAAGCCGTGAAATAATTGGCTGCAGGAAATGCTTTTTAAAGATTTCACTTCTCTTTCCTCAACACCTTCAAATGCCTGTTATTTATTTTATCTTTTGAGAAATTGTAATTTATTTAAGAGGGTCAAGTGGATCCTTCAGGATTAAGTTTATTTTTAACACATTTGACACATTTTGTGTCACTCTGGAGGAGAAAAACATAACTGATCCGATTAAATACGTTAAATGGTTTTTGTTCTTTGACTTCCACCTGTTCCAAATGAACAAATACTTTTTAACTCAATTTTCTGGACCGCAGTTGCGTATTTTCTTAAGTTAAGTTTATTCTTATTATCAACTGTATTTCTTGGGGGAAATATTGCACTTTTTAATATAAAAAACAATTCATGACAAGAGAGATTGATGACTTGATACAGATCAAACTCCATAAAAAGGAGTTAAAATGACGCCTTCTACGGGGCTATAGCATATATATATGTATAATATACACATGTGTATATATATATATATATACACATATGTGTATATTATACACGTGGAGGATATTAAACCATCTCTGCACACAGAATCAAACCGGAGCTTCTGTCTCTCTGCAACGTGAAGGTCGAAGGTGCTGCAGGTTTTCCAGGCGCTCGACTGGGGATTACGTGACAACGGTTGGATTGATGTGGCAGGACAGTGTGGGGGGGGGGCGAAGGAGGAGGGGGGGGGGGGGGGGGGGGGGGGGCGATGTGACCTCCCCGCAGTCGGAATGCAAATTGGTGAAAGTGACAGCGGTTTAAACCCTGAAGAGTGATGACGGCGAAACAGCCGCAGTGGGATGTTCATGTTCATGTGGATGACATCACACGTGATGACATCATGCGTGAGGTCATCTACATCATGGACCACAGCAGCTGGTTAAGTTTGGAACCAGAAGAAAGTGTCCTTCAGGATTCTTTATTCGTTAAAGAGCAGACTGTGTAACACACACCCCCCCCCCCGCCGCCCAAAAGAGCCTCAAGTGACTATAAAATGATCCAGATATTTGCCCCGGAGGCGCCGATAAGGCAATACTTAGAACCCAAAGATTTACATAAATTATTGGTGTCCTCCCTCCAGTTATTTTTGTCAGAGTGGGAATGGAACTGAAATGTTATTTATGAAAGAGCCCCGATAGAACTCTACTTCATTCCATTTGAATAGAATTAACTTTATTTTGAAGGAACGAAGCAGCACTGTCAGTCCTCCTCTCTGAGGCTTCTGGCCCTCATTCGTCTCCTGGTGCTCGGTGACTTCCAACGAATCAGTATTCCAGAACATCTCCGCAGCCGTCTGGTGGAGGAGCACATCTTCATGCAGGAGATCACCTCCCTGGCCTCGGAGTCTGTTGACCAGATGGAGGACTCTCAGTGGTTCCTCCTCACACTGAGACTCTGGAGGACACTCTGAACACCATCAGGTCTCCTTCATTTGTGTTCTAATCACTAAACCAACAGCTGTTCTTCCTCCACTCATCTTCTGGCTGGAGGTCCTGTCCTCTCTCCTGCATCCAAAGAGATGAACATCAGACAAACGGTGAAGAGCTCAGAGCTCCTCAGGCTGATGTGAGACGGAGACGCCTTCGCCCCCTGAATGCAAACGGCAACGTTATCGTGTGCGCGTTCAATTCAACCATAAATCACACAATGACAGAAAGTCCTCCGGCGGGGGGGGGGGGGGGGGGGGGGCGTGCCAGAGAGGGCTTCCAGTCAGAATACAAAGAGGAGTCACACAGTCCATCAGATGTCTCCATCTTGGTCTCCTCGGGAATCGGCAACTCACCTTTTGTCATTTACCGTGATTCTGATCTTCAGATGAGATCAAACGTCCTTTTACCTCTTTACTACTTTCTCCTAAACTCACCAAACGTTACTATTTAATGGCGAGGTGTGTTTCACAGTGAGTGCTCCTCTTAATGTAGTGATGAAGTGGTGAACTCTCGTGTTGATGTCTCCTCTGAGCTGCTCGTGTTGAATGGAGCAGGAGGGAGGAGGTCATTAAAACAGAGGGAAGCGTCGGTGTGAAATGAAGAGGAAGCCATCTGTCATGGAGCGACGAGGCTTCACCTGGATGCTAATGAGCCTCAAACCGCCGGCAGAGGAAATATTAAACTGTTAAACGTGAGCGATGATGGCGAGCCGGCGGAGGAGGAAGGTCGCTGCTTTTAACGCGTCTCTTTTTCTTTCATCCGGGGACAAACATCCTGCCGTCTGTGTTTTGACTGGTCCTGAATCAAGATCAGCAGAGACCAGTCCACCGTGGACAGACCAGGGTCCTCCAGCAGAGACCAGTCCACCGTGGACAGACCCAGGTCCTCCAGTAGAGACCAGTCCACTGTGGACAGACCCAGGTCCTCCAGAAGAGACCAGTCCACTGTGGACAGACCAAGGTCCTCCAGCAGAGACCATTTCACCGCGGACAGACCCAGGTCCTCCAGAAGAGACCAGTCCACTGTGGACAGACCCAGGTCCTCCAGAAGAGACCAGTCCACTGTGGACAGACCAGGGTCCTCAGTAGAGACCAGTCCACTGTGGACAGACCCAGGTCCTCCAGTAGAGACCAGTCCACCGTGGACAGACCCAGGTCCTCCAGCAGAGACCAGTTCACTGTGGACAGACCAGAGTCCTCCAGTAGAGACCAGTTCATTGTGGACAGACCAAGGTCCTCCAGCAGAGACCAGTTCACCGCGGACAGACCCAGGTCCTCCAGTAGCGACCAGTCCACCGTGGACAGACCCAGGTCCTCCAGTAGAGACCAGTCCACCGTGGACAGACCAGGGTCCTCCAGTAGAGACCAGTCCACTGTGGACAGACCAGGGTCCTCAGCAGAGACCAGTCCACCGTGGACAGACCCAGGTCCTCCAGTAGAGACCAGTCCACCGTGGACAGACCAGGGTCCTCCAGTAGAGACCAGTCCACTGTGGACAGACCAGGGTCCTCAGCAGAGACCAGTCCACCGTGGACAGACCCAGGTCCTCCAGTAGAGACCAGTCCACCGTGGACAGACCCAGGTCCTCCAGTAGAGACCAGTCCACCGTGGACAGACCAAGGTCCTCCAGCAGAGACCAGTTCACTGCGGACAGACCCAGGTCCTCCAGAAGAGACCAGTCCACTGTGGACAGACCCAGGTCCTCCAGAAGAGACCAGTTCACTGTGGACAGACCAGAGTCCTCCAGTAGAGACCAGTTCATTGTAGACAGACCAAGGTCCTCCAGCAGAGACCAGTTCACCGTGGACAGACCAAGGTCCTCCAGCAGAGACCAGTTCACCGCGGACAGACCCAGGTCCTCCAGTAGCGACCAGTCCACCGTGGACAGACCCAGGTCCTCCAGTAGAGACCAGTCCACCGTGGACAGACCAGGGTCCTCCAGTAGAGACCAGTCCACTGTGGACAGACCAGGGTCCTCAGCAGAGACCAGTCCACCGTGGACAGACCCAGGTCCTCCAGTAGCGACCAGTCCACCGTGGACAGACCAGGGTCCTCCAGTAGAGACCAGTCCACTGTGGACAGACCCAGGTCCTCCAGTAGAGACCAGTCCACTGTGGACAGACCAGGGTCCTCAGCAGAGACCAGTCCACCGTGGACGATGGATGGTGGTGATTCTGGTCCTCCTGCTGACTGAACTGAGTGCATGAATCTTCTTCTCCATGAATCACATGCTCATATTGCTGCCTCCCCCCTCACCCTCCCCCCTCACCCTCACCCCTCCCTCCACGGTACCTGCAGGTGATTCCCCCTTTTTATTTCCTTCACTCGGTTCACCTCGATCTTCCCTGAAGCACCGGAGTAGTTTTTTTATTGACACCATATTCCTTATTTGTTTTATTATCAAACTGAATTTCAATCTTCAGTAATGTAATTCCCCCTCTGCCTTCTTTATGGGGGGGGGGGGGGGCGCTATAATTGGAAATGGGAACTTAATTTGGCTTAATGAATCCACACGGCGTTTAATTGGCGTCTGCTCCGTCCCAGGAGCCTCCCTGCTTCACCTCCTGAGGCCTTTCACACCTGAACAGCAGAGATCTTCTCCTCTGAAGCTCATTCTGCAGGATGAAAACTGCGTTTTGTTCTCAGTCTGTAGAATTTCCACATCCATTATATCGACTGTCAATCTTACAAAATGCAATTATTCTCCATCCACCGCGAGTGTACCAAATATTAATTTAATGCTTTGAAGTTTAGATAAAAGCGAAGAAATGTTTGCTGATGTCGTGAAAAACGATTGTATTGACTTGATTGAGTTGTATTATTAAAAGTGTCTAAATAAGTACCTGGTGAAGAAAACAATATCAAAGATTTGATTCTCTCTCTCTCATCTCTCTACACACACACACACACACACACACACACACACACACACACACACCACTTTTAGCAAGTTTCGGATGAACGTAAACCTTTTATTTTCTTTGTGAATAATATAAATCAGAATCCATTAAAGCTGTAAACATCCAAATAAATGATAGAATCAAAAAGGACAAATTATTGTAAACAAAAACATGTGAAGATACAGCAAACTTTAAAATGAAAAAGATAAAAGACAAAAGCTGATTGTCATTTGAAATGTTTCACGTGCAGATTTGACTGGATGACTTTGGAGGCCGATTCCACAGAATCAACACGTAATAATTCACTCCGACTGAACAATAATCATCTAGATTCTCAACGGCACAAAAAGCGTGACGGTAAACATGGAAATGAGGCGTGATAATAAACTTTTATGGACCTCTGCATGCAGGGACAGTGGCCCCGCCCACACGGGCAGCGGCTCCGCCCACACAAACGGTTGCAGTAGAAACATGGCGGCCGGCTCTGTATGTGGGTATAAAACAAAAACGGGAATAATCCGAAATCAGCAGATTACACACGTTGGCCCTTTAAGAAGTATGCCGATGTTTCATTATCGACCCGTTTCACTGCTCAACATCTGACCCTGAAGTTCAGGAGGCGTCAAACCACTTCGCCAACATCAGAACTTTAAATGTCCAACATACCAGATGACGTTACGCCCGCTCGAGGATTTTTTTGCAAATCCTTGAAAAGTCCTTTTGATAAAAATAGCTTTTCTGTCTCATCGTTGGGAGTGACTTTCTTTTCCAGCTTTTTCTTCTTTCCGCATGGAACAAAAACTCCCCTTTGGTCCCTTTTGACAAATTAAGATATATTACTCTTAATTAAACGTAACATTTGCAAGAAAAGTCCCCTGAAGAGGCGGCGAGAACACTTACACGTTCCCCTCATTCATCCATTTAAGTCCTCGGATCTCCTATTTCTGGACGTCGGTCAGGATGATGTTGGCCGTGACGAACATGAGGCAGGAGGCGGCCCACAGCAGCACGAACCACACCCAGAAGGCGTGGCCGAAGGGCGAGCGGTGCTTGTTGGCGGCGCCCCGGCCCGCCACGGGCTCCAGGTGGCGCCGGGAGCAGAGCACCAGGCAGGCCGGCACCACGTACTGGATCCCCGTGCCGGCGTAGGACCCCGTGATGCCCACCAGGGACTCCAGGTTGTGGGTGCAGAAGGCCACCACGATGGGGGGCACCAGGGTGATGAGCGGGAAGACCACCCGGTCCACCACCCACGGGTAGGTGCCCCCGTCCCGGTGGAACAGGGTCTTCCAGTTGTTGCGCAGCGTGACGGCGATGATGGGGAAGTTGGTGCTGATGGTGAAGACCGGGAAGAGGCTCAGGAAGTAGCGCAGCGCTGGATGTCCAGCACGTGGCAGTTGTCGGTGAAGTTGAGCGTGTACATGTCGTGCAGCAGCGAGCTGTCGAAGCAGAAGATGGCGGTGAAGGACAGCAGGACGTAGAAGCCCAGGATCAGGACGTAGTCCGCCAGCACCAGCGCCCCCACCCGCCGCTTGTCCGAGATGGGGGTCACCAGGGAGGGCAGCGAGTGCTGGCACATGAAGGAGTACACGCACACCCCGAACAGGTTGGGCACGCCGGAGAGGGAGGCCACCGGCGGGCGGCCCTCGCCGGCGCCTTTGCCGATGCGGAGGAGAGCCAGGACGATCATCATGGTGAAGGCTGGAGGGGGAGGGGGGGGGGAGGGTTAAGAACAATGTGAGAGACAATAACGATCCCACCCCATCAATCATGTCGATGAGGCGGCTTTATGGGCGGTAAGAAAAATGAACTGCAAATAAAATGCAAAGCTGAATAAATTGAATCATAAGGAATCGAAATTAATCACAATTTATTCTACGAGGTCAAACATTTTCTCAAAAAAACGTTGTGTGGATTTTAAAAAGACATTTCAAGACACCTTTTCTATGTACTTTTGTTGTTAAATGCAGAAACATTTTGGTTTATTCGGTTTCGTCTCAAAGGAAAAAGAGCAGAACAAAGAAGTGAACGAGATTCATGTTGACAAGATGGATTGTTTTTGTTGTGGTGACCTCGGCCACTATGTACTGTAGTTAAACCCCCCCCCCCCCCCTCGATGCTGCAACAATTTATATCCAACGTAAATAACGTCTCAGTGATCGTGATGACTTTCAATCGGGTGGATGGAGAGAAAAAACGTCACGTATGTTCTGCTATTGTACAGAAACCTCCGTTTTGCACCAACTCGTCTTTTCCGTCAATCAAGATTTACTCGTACGACTTCCACAGGAGATGAGGCACCGTCGGCCTCCACGTCTCCAACCGATTCCTGGAGGAGACGTCGGAGCGCGACGACAGGTCATGTGACCCGGGACGCCGCCGCCCCCTCAATCAGCCCCCGTGAAACCAGGAGTGAAGCCTCCTGCAGCAGCAGGCTGTGATTGGTCTGCTGACTGCGTCCTTTACGGAGTCTCACGTCTCCGTTTTCACAGCACAATACGGCCGTTATTAAAAGGAAGAACGTTTACGAGAGAACGGATCAGATTGAAGAGCTTTTAAATATGAGCGCTTGTACAAGCCGTCATTGGCGGACTATGAGGACGCCGGATGGCCTCTGATTCGTGGAGGGAGATCTCCACAAACGAGAGGAACAAAGTCGTGGAGGAAAATACGGGACAAATGTGTCCGTGATGAAAAGCAGCAGTGTGGATGCACGGGGCAATAAAGTCTATGATAAATAAATAAAGCAACCAGCGACTTCCACACACAAAGACGTGACTCTCCAGGTGGTCTGCGGGGGCGTTATGAGGTGTGCACAGCGGGTCATCAGGGTCAGACTGTCCCTCTGGAACCAAGAAGAAGCTGGTGGAGAAAACCAAGGCAGCAGTTTGGATCGCGGCGAAGACGACGATGTCCAGTTCTTTGAACTAGCGTTCCTCAGAAGTTCTCTCTTTGAAATGAATCATCAAATGACTCCAGATGTTGCAGCTGCGCCCAGATGTTTTAGAGCAAAAAGTCCCACAACTTCAGGATTCTGAGGGGGGAGACGGGGGAGACGAGCGCGGTGCTTTAGATCAGGAGCGCATTAGTTTAAGCCCCTTTTTAGCGAGTTCAGCAAAGATTAAGATGCAGCAAAGCAGAACATCGTTTCCTCTCATGCTAATTGGAGGCAGAAGGACTCATTCGTCTCACTTAGGAAACAGGAAGTGACTCCTTTCCTCAGAAGGAAGTGAAAGCTGCTCAGAGAAAACGGGAAAAATGTAACGTAATCATGTGTTCAGGTGGAAATATGTTGTCAGATTAACGCTTAGAGGTTCACAGATTCGCCGTTTTAACCCTCAAATGTTTTCTTTAAAAAAAACAAAGACGGAGGATCCATTAAAAGACGGAGCCATCGACCCCGTCCTCTCCGCAGGAGGTCCAACTCCTCATTGCTCACGGAGGACGCAGCGTTTATCTGCAGTGAAGAAGCAGCTGGTCCGTGGACGGCGAGCGGAGCGTCACATGAAGACAAGAGGACGGGACGCGTCCCAATCAGAGGACGACAAAGGTCATTTTTCATTTTTCATGTAAGATTTTCAGGGGGGGCACTGATAAAATGGGAATATACGTTGAGGCAGAGAGAACCGAAAAGGCCATATTAACACATCATCTGCAATATTCTATGATAATATCTCTATGTTTATACTTATTATACTGCAGTTTAACTTCTTTTCTCTCTTAATATCGCGCTCGATGAGTTCGGTCTCTATTGGGCGCCGGTGCATATTTATTTATTGATTCCAGGTGATTTATTTACTTCTGTAATCTCGTAAATCTGTAAACGATCGTGAGCGATTTCCTTGGTTCTAAGTATCTCGGCTTGTAGATGAAATGATGTTCTCACCGATCCAGCGCATCAGGGAGGTGAGAATCTGGAGGTATTTGGTCTTCTGGGCGCTGAAGAAGGTGAACGGCCCGAGGAGAAGCGTGAAGACGGTCTGCAGGACGAGACACACACACAAGTTTATTACTTCAAAGAAAGGCTTCAATTATTCATTCATTCATTCCAGAGCATCAGCCGTCCTTTCCTCTCCAGCAAAACCAGTAAAACCACCACAGGAAACACGCTCATCAATAGAAACCTTTGACAAACTGTGAAACCATGTGCGGATTATCGGTTGTTGGTAGTTGTTCATTTATTAATGGGGGGGTTTTACATTCACGAGTACTTTAGAGACACAGAAGCCGCTCGCTGTTCTCTCAAACGGTCGCTGCGTCCCCGGCGTGCGATTCTCAAACGCCTGCTGTCAAAAAAAATCCCATCAGGCCGCTCGCTGATTGGTGGAGAGATAAACCGGCGCAATCGATCCACGGTGCAAACATCAAGTCCTCGGGGGCCGAGCCGCTGATTGCCTCTCAGATCCTCCTCTTCATCAGACGGGCTCGGCTACTGTAGCTCCAATTCCTCCTCCTCCTCCCCCTCCTCTTCCTCGTCTTCCTCCTCCTCCTCGTCTTCGCCTGACACTTTGAGTGGCGTGCGATCTCCGGGGCTGCCACTCTTCATCTGAGGGTTTCTCACTGGGATCCATGGCAACACAGAGCGATGCGACTCCTCCCCCGCAGGGCGCCGCGCTTCCCCCCCGGGGGGCGTTTGATCCTAAAAGTGTCCCAAGTGTTGTTGGTTTGTGGGCGTCATGTTTAAAGCCAGTGAACAGGAAGTGGGGGGGTCCGGTCACATCATAGTTATGAAGGACACCACATAGTTCCATGCAGCCTCTGGGATTATGGACATTCACATCACAGAGGGTCACAGAAGTTCACAAAGGGTCACAGAGGGTCACAGAGGGTCACGGAGGGTCACAGAGGGTCACAGAGGGTCACAGAGGGTCACAGAGGGTCACGGAGGGTCACGGAGGGTCACAGAAGGTCACCGTACGATGTTCAGCAATAAATCTCGAGTGGATGTCAGAGGCACGTGAAGAGAAATGATGCAATGTGATCATCTCGTCCGGGGGAATGATTTACTCTCTGACACAGTTCCATTTGAAGATTGATTGACAGCTGCACGGCCCCCCCTGCTTCTCGGTAGACCCGGTGCTGCTAGTTAGCCGCGTCTGTCCAATGTTTTGAGTGCACGGTACATTGGTTTTGTCCTCACACAGTCCTGTGTTTCCACACTGCAGGAGTTTGTAGTCATCGCCTGTGGGGCTACTTAGCTTTAGCTTAGCGACAAGCAAAAAGGGCACTTAAAGTAATAAAACTAACAAGAATTGGATATGGAACAAGATGATCACATATATCTGCCTGGTACAACAAACACCGTCACCCTGAAACGCGTGTAAAACGCTCATTAACGGTTAAAACGATCAGGACGGTCCATTAAGTGGACGACGGGGGCGTAAACTTCTCATCAGAGGAAGCAGATGACAGTGATTGACAGGTCTCCAAGTCCCTCCTCCACATTTTAAACAGGGTCACTTCAAGAACCACTCAAGGATAAAAAAAAAAAGAGAAGATGATTCCAAGCGGACGAGTTTAGATTAAGATGTTGACGCGTCCAGAAGCAGACGCTCGGCGCTCGATGCATTTATTCATTTCATCTCCCTCGTGCGCTTTTTTTCTTCTTTTCTTTGAAACTGCTTACGTTTCAGGCCGCTTCGATAAACGTCTCCATAAACAAAAGCTATTGACGAGGACGCCGTCCTCTGCAGCCGAGGCGTTTCTATTCTTTCCACACCACGTACAGGCGCGGGGCAGCTTCGCACGGCGATGTCTGAGCCAAAAGGGGCGGGGCCGACGCATCACAGGAGCTCTAGTTGTGGCGCACGCCACACACGCCCCCCCCGCGGGGAAGAGAAGCCCTTCAAAAAGAATAAATCATAGAAACAAATACCAACGCCCGGCGGTGCTGCTGCAGGAGTCCTACTTGGGGAGGGGGAGATTAGCGGCGGTTTAGATATGGCGAATGATCTCGGTAAACGCCGCGCGGCAGCTGTCAATCACTCGCAGGCCTTTCACCGGCAGGCGAGCATTGCGTCACCCGGAGCTTTAGTCGCCACATATGTGAGCGGTTTCTTTTTTTTAGGGAGGGGGGGGTGGTGAGTTTTTTTACTTCTATCCCCCCGATCGTCGCCCCCGTTAAGTGATTAATCGACGCAGATGTCGTCCCGCGCAGTTTGGCGAGCGACTTTTACAGAGATGGTTAATGGTGAAAGTCCACGAGGTCGAGCAGAGGTCACGCTGGGGGGGTCATAAGGGTCCTGGTGGGTCCATGCGGTGGTGCAGCCTGGACACTGATAATCCCCCCACACACACACACAATAATCCCAATCCCCTCGGCCCTGCACCCCCCGCCATTTGTCTCTCAAGTTAAGCTCCATTCCGAACAGATTGGCGCCCGGACGGCGTGGAGCCCGGCGCACGCTCACTTTTCTCTTCTATTATCGCAGATTGGTGATTGTTTTACGGCTTGGAGAAGAAAAGGAAAATAAAACTGGAGAAGAGGAGAAGAGTTCATGCCGTACTTCCCTGATCGATGGACGACACGTCTGAGGAGATAAACGATGGTTGGATTGATTCTACTCATCGGCCTCCTGCGATTAAAAGACGCGGCTCACACGAACGCTCAAAGCTTCTCAGATGGATCCAATAACTGGAGACCCGACGCTTCACGCCTCATTTCACTTTAATCAAGACCTGCAACGTGCGGATGAAAGTTCTACAGGAATTAAGAGATTACTCACATTCCTCCAGCATATCAAGCATTCCGATTAAACCCGATGAACCACGTGTCTCCTGCGCTGTTAACCGGGGGGGGGGGGGGGAAGGGGGGGGGCGCACACACACCAAGTAAGACTGATCGCTCAGACCCCCGGATGATATTTCAACTTAATGAAGCAAAAAAAACAAAATAAAACGCTCAGAAACCCCCCACAAACCCCCCCTCCACTAATCACACCACACGGAGGAACTACAGTGCAAAGACTTGGGGGGGGGGGCGACACTCCAATGATAGCAATAACATGTGAATTAATTCACTGACCACGGGGGGGGGGGGGGGGGGCTATTAATACCATTTGGAACTAAGCTATAAGAGATATAAAAAAGAAGAAGCTGTATTCATTCATTATGAAGCGTTCTCAATCCACACAATATTACATCTGATCATGTGACACAAATACCAGGTTCAGAGACACAATCTGGATTTATTCCCTCAGTAAACATCATAAACATGAGTTTATGTTCTCAATCTCTAGTTTCATGTCTTCTTCAATGCAGCTTGATGTTCATTTAGGGTCAAACAAACCATGAAGCAGGGGATGCTTTAGGGCGGGGCTACACGCCGATTGACAGGTCTCTGATAGACCATTAAGCATTGAAAGCTTTAGATCAGGCTTCTTTAGATTAGATCATTGGATCATTTCATCTGTAGGATAAAGAAGCACATTTGTCCAATAACGTCTTTCAGTCCATTTTCTGCTTTTATTAAGTATTTGCTCTTTCCTTTAAATGTCGTTAACGGGGTTCATTAACAGTCGACCTCACAGAAGCGTCAGCACATCACAAGTTGACTTTGTTTACTTTGTCTCTTAACAAATAGTTGATAGAATCTGATTTATTTATTCAGGCCTCAGGACTACTTCCTGTCTCATCGTTAAATAACCGGCGCGAAGGAAACGGGGCAACAACACTTTACTTTAAAACGTTGGCACTTTTAAAAGCTTTGGACTGTTGATATAGAAAAGTAACAATAAGAATATCAAAATGTCAAGAGAGAAAATACAGTGTGAGAATCAGGAACATCTCTGGACCAGCTCGCTTTCATCTCATTGGAAACACATCTAACGCCGTTAATTAGGCGCACTGCGTTGCCCCGGAGACCGCCGCGCCTCCCCGTGATTAAAGACAGGCCTCCTAATGAGGGGAAGGAAGCACACGGCGACTGGAGGAAGGAGAGCGCGGCGTGGGACCGGCCGCCACATTTTAAACCGTGACGAGAGGGAAACAAAAGGCTGCCGGCGTTTAACAACAGAAGACACCGTTTCTTCATGTCACATCCGCGACGAGGGAGATCAAGGTCACCACGAGGAGCAACAGGAGAAAGACAAGCGGCTCTCCCTGATTATATTATATGTATATATATATTTATATAATTATATAAATATAAATATATTTATATATATATATATATATATATTATTGATATAATAATATAATATAATAATTATATATATAATATATAATATATTTATAATATATAATATATATATATAATATATTTATATTTATATAATATATATATATAGATATTATATATATAGATATTATATAATATATTTATATAATATATATATATATATATATATATATTATATATTTATATAATATATATATATATATATTATATATATATATATATATATATATAATATATTTATATAATATATTATATATATATTATATAAATATATTATATATATATATGATACAAGATCCCACCTTAAACCTGAAGAAAAGATTAAATATCTATGCAGTCGGGTTTTTTAAAACGCCACAGAAGTCACATAATCGGACGAGACGACGATGCATTTCTGACCAGAATAGAGAATCATAAAAGCATGGAGGCTAAACTTGGTCCGGCTTGTTGCTCCTCAGTAGAACGATGGCAGGAGGCCATCAAGGACACCGGTGCCCCTCCGGCTATAAATCTTTATTAGTCTCTTAATGAATCAATCGGCTCGGCGTTGGGTCGCGTCGGAGCTCCACCGAGCCACAGAGAAACATCTGCATGAAGACGAGCAGCGTGGGCACGAACGCGCCTTTCAGCTCGCACGCCGCATCGATTTCCCATCACTTCCATCACGCCGCGAGAACATTAATCAACTGTTTAAAAAGAATTCAAATTGTACCCGACGCGGGACTCACAAAGCAAACTGAACCCGACGGAGGACAGAGAGTTTAAATCAAGGTCTCCAGACGTCTGAGGGATTAAAACCAATAAACAGATTTTTGTCTTCCCGTTTTACATTTTCTTGACATTTATGTAATAAAGCAAATAGGGCTGTTCTTCATTTTGCCACAACGCTTCCCTCCATCGCCTCAGAATACGACTCATATTCCAGTTAATTTGGTTCCCGGTTTTCTTTCGCTAAATCGAATGTGACTCAGACATTAGGAGACGGAAAAAGGTTACGAACTCCACATTTATTTCTTACTCTTTTAAAGTCACGAACACGACTTCAACTTTATCACTTTCTTTTTAACTCTATCGCGAGCGAATTTTGCCACTGCTTCGCCCTGAATGCCAAAGGAGCCCAGGTGCATGCTGGGAGGGGGCAGGTCAATTATTTAGACTCATCACTGGGTGTCTCTGGGCCGTGTGGGACGCCGTCGGGCCGCGCTGAATGTTTCATTGACGCCTTTCACTTATTTAAAGAAAAGGTCGACCAGAAGAAAGTCACGGGACGAAAATGAAATAAAGTAGGAAAAACGGCAGCTAACCCTTAACCCCTAATCCCTGACCCTTAACCCCTAACCTTAATCCTTAATCCTCAACCTCTACCCACTAACCCTGACCCCTAACTGGAAGGTCGGGGGTCAGGTCTGCGCCTCCCCGCCTCCTTATTCCGCCAAACAAATCTGCAAAACTGCAAGAGCAAACAAACTGAGCGGAGGTTTCATATCAGCGTTATTTCAATTTGGGAGGGAGAAGCTCATCCCATTAAGGGGTGGGGGGGAGGGAGAGGGGGGGGGGGGTAATTTACGGGCAGATTATTTGAGGCCTGAGAGTGTGGGAAAGGGAGGCGGGAGGAGAAATGCCAGAAGAGGAGGTGGGCACATCGATCACTGTCGCCCAGCCATCAGGGTCTGGCTCGCTTAAGGCTTCAAGGACGCACACTCCGGGGGGAGAGGGGGGGGGGCGTCCTGTGTTCACAGAGCGGCTGAAGCCCCAGAAGGCCGAGCGGCAGCAAGTGGCGCGTTGAGCCGGATCTTGCCGTCTGGAGAGAAGCCTCAATGGGTAAAAGTTTAAAAGTCGTAGTGGTCAATAAAGTTGTTTTAAAGCCCGGCAGCGGCACACGGCTCCTAGGACTTAGGACTTAAGGACAGAGGGAAGGTCGCGGACCTGTAGAGAGGAAGTCAAAGGTACATCAGGCAAAGGGGGGCGTGTCCGGGACTCACCAGAAACACCCGGTAGGCGTCCGTCCTGGTCACGGAGCCCCAGCACGGGTCGGTGTCGTTGTACTTCACACTTCCGGCGCTGCAGGAGTGGTTCCCACTGCACGAGAACAAACAGTTAAACAGCACGCTAGTGACAAAGTGTCCTGAGGACGTCGCAGCAGCTTAAGTGGTACAGCGAGAGACGGAGAGACGGGCCGTCAGCGGGGGACCACTTCCTGTCGCCTACAACTCCCCGCGAGGTTCAATCCTTTCATCACACCGCTGGAAGGACTCGCAGGGGGGGGAAAGGAAGACGGACCGGAGGCGCCCGAAAGACGCCGGTCAGAGGTCAGCCGAGCTCCATCGTCTTCGTCTCCCGCTCAGAAAGGGACGAAGGGACAAAGACACAGCGGCGGATGTTCCGGATGTCTTACCAGGCCACCTCCATCAGGGAGATGGGCACGGCGGCGGCGTAGATGGCCATGTCCCCGTACAGGTACACGATGATGCAGATGTAGAACATGTTGACGCCGACTGGAAGACACAAAGCGGCGCGTGATCAGAGGGAAACGAGCGCATTACGAATGTGTCATCTGAATCATCTGGAATCAGCTTTGACCTCCTGGAAGGTCCCGAGAACGTGCCTCCGATACCGAGCGGGGGGGACGCTCATTTTACTCGTTTCCTTCTTTGTGTCAGAATGTCGATGACTTAACAAATCGAATCCAGACGAAGGCCCGGAGGGGGCCACAAATGAAACGCGCTCATACTTACAGCAGATTTATTATATGATTCAGATTTTCTTATTCTTTTTTTTTTTTTTACACTGTTTAAATAGAAAACTGAGGATTATTTTATTATCGCTTATCAACATTTATCTACATCTTAATGGACATTGAGCTCCGGAATGAAAGCTAAAGCGAAACTCCACATTTATTTCTTACGAGCGAAAGCTCAGCTAAAGGTCAAAGGTCAAACCCCGTAATGACGCGCTGTGTGCTCGTCAGTAAGAGTTCGGACTCTTTCCCACAGAGGGGGAAGAAGAGAGGACGAAGATGATGAAGAGGAGAAACTCGCCTCCTTATTGCCGATCGATCGGCGGAGGTCGGTTTTTTTGCACCTTTAGCGCAGTCGAGCGACACGCTGCAGCTTTAAGAGTGTGCGCACCTCAACATGGGTGGAGGTGGGTGGGGACGGGGACGGGTGGGGGCTAAGTGTGCCGAGTGCTCCACCTTGTGGCCAAACAGGAGAGATGATGAGGTCACAGCTTTGACCTTCTGTTCCTGGTGAGTCACTTTGATCAGGCCAATAAAAGACAAAAGAGACGACGCTCGAGGTTCAAGGGCCTTATGGGCGGGGGTGGGGGGCTAACTGCCCCCCACCCCCGCCCCGACCCCAGTAGGGACTATAATGAGAGTCTTGAACAGGTAATTACACCCAAAGGCAATTTATCCATTTATAATTACATCCAATTAGAGCCCTTCCTTCATGTGAGGACGAGACAGCAAAATGTTAAATGAACTACGAGCGGCCGCCTGAGGCCACGAGAACATTACCTTTGTTGAAGAACATGGAGGCCATTTGACCCATCTCCACCCGCTCCACGATCTCAAAGTGGTCCACGTGCCCCCCCGACCTCTCTGCGGAAACACGGAGGACGCATGTAAAGACACACATGCTCACGAGGACGTCAGATGTTCGGACAACTCGTGGTTCCTCTCTGATTTCTATTTTATACGATCCCATGTAAAACACTCACGACCCTCCCGGTGAGACAAGATGGGCTTGGTCTCCGGCTCCGCCCGGCCCCGGACCACCGGGTCATCGTCCGAGTACTCCGAGCTGGAGTCGCTGTCCTCGACCTGCGGGGACAAAACCACAGGAAGTAAACCAGAGCGGGAATCTGCGGTTCGTCTTCATCTCGAGAGAAGAGGAAGCCGCTCAAAAGATCCGATCACATGACCGCACGCAACTTCAACTATCAGTTTATTAAACGCTGTCGCAACCCGATTATCATTGTATTCATCTTTAAAAGTCCCAGTGAAGAGTCTAAAGGCATCGCAGCCTCCGTATTTCTGTCTTAGAAGTCTCTTTATATTATTATTGTATTAACTTTGAAGAGTTACTTAAGGGGAAACATCTGACAAGTGAAATAACAACTCAATAAATATTTCACTTTCATCCACACAGTAACTACTTTTTATTGTCCTCCAGATCTCGTGTGTGTGTCTGTGTGTGTGTGTGTGTGTGTGTGTGTGTGTGTGTGTGTGTGTGTGTGTGTGTGTGTGTGTTTGTGTGCGCTTTGCTCAAGCGGTTAGAAATAATAAAATTATTTTAAAAAAAGGCTTTCAGCAGTAAAACTTCTTCCATTGAGTGGGAGGTAAAATGAATCAATGAATCAAGGCCGGATGTTGTGGGGGTTTGGGTGGGGGTTTGGGTGGGGGTCATAACTCGTGCAGCGGGGGGACCAGCAGCAGAGCGCCGACAGGTCTGAAGTCAAAGTGATGGAAGGTTTGTGAAGGAGGCCGATGGGACGATAAAACCGTCCCCGAACGGTCAGACGTATGCTGCCTGTTAAAGGAGAGCCGAATACTCTTCAGGATTTTAACATGAAATAGTTTTAAAAAGGTAAAAGCTACAAAATAAAGAGTTTCTGTTTCCAGATGAAGTAAAGCGTGCATCTTTAACATTACTACAGACGAGTGATCTTCATTTCATAATTATAATCATTATAACTTGAGTTGAATTATTCTGCCTCAAGCCCCGCCCTGAAGCATCCCCTGCTTTATGGTCCGTTTGACTCTAAATGGACCATAATCTACTAAATGAACATCATGTTGTATTGAAGAGGACTTGAAACTAGAGATTGAGACCATAAACTCATGTTTACAATGTTTACTGAGGGAATAAATCAAGAGAGAAGTAGAGTCATTTCCTCATAGACGTCTATGGGAGCAGAGGAGTCGCCCCCTGCTGGTCACTACAGAGAAGTAGAGTCATTTCCTCATAGACGTCTATGGGAGCAGAGGAGTCGCCCCCTGCTGGTCACTACAGAGAAGTAGAGTCATTTCCTCACAGACGTCTATGGGAGCAGAGGAGTCGCCCCCTGCTGGTCACTACACAGAAGTAGAGTCATTTCCTCATAGACGTCTATGGGAGCAGAGGAGTCGCCCCCTGCTGGTCACTACAGAGAAGTAGAGTCATTTCCTCATAGACGTCTATGGGAGCAGAGGAGTCGCCCCCTGCTGGTCACTACAGAGAAGTAGAGTCATTTCCTCATAGACGTCTATGGGAGCAGAGGAGTCGCCCCCTGCTGGTCACTACAGAGAAGTAGAGTCATTTCCTCACAGACGTCTATGGGAGCAGAGGAGTCGCCCCCTGCTGGTCACTACAGAGAACGCAGCTTTAACACTTTGACTTCACTATAACGAACATGAGCGTTGATATCTGAGGATATAGGATAGTCTGCTCCGTTAGCTCCGCCTTCCTTCTTGGGCTGGCGGCTGCTGGGTGATGGAAAACTAAGACATGTTTACGACGTCTACTCACTGCGCAGAATATAATTAAATACAGTCTCACGCATGCTTCCCTCCAGGCGGCGCTCTCACCTCTTCCTGCTTCCTCCTCTTCCAGCGCAGCTGAGCGTTGGCTGCCGCCATCGCCTCCATCACCAATGTGGTCGTCATGTTTGCCCATAGGTGGAAGGACCAAATCATTTATTAAATATATTAACATTCAAATGAAGATTGCCGCCTCGGTTGAAACCGCTCAAAAGGAGAACTGGGAAGAAATGTTGACTCTCATACATTTTTTATTTGAAATAAAATGTTAACACACATAAACTGCTTTTTAGATTATATATCTAAGAACATATTCAATAACCTTTTCATTGATCTCAAAGGGAATTCCTTATTTATCAATTGCTGCTAAATGTATTAATTTCATATATTCACATTTGATTTAGTTTTCATACGTTATGGAAAGATAATAAAAGCTTAAACAGGAGTCGCCTGTGCTTAACGTAATAAATAAATGCTGTCTCGGCTCAAGTAGAAAAAGGTCAAAGGGTGCGACCGAACTGACCTCATGAAGCCTAAAAAGGAGATGAGCGCGATGCTCACCGCCCAGCCGGCCGTGGCGAAGGCTTTGGGCATCGTCAGCGCTCCGGTTCCCACGATCAGGTTGAACATGTAGACCAGCCCCACCTGGAGCACACGGACACAAATCAAGACCTCTACTCAGCTTATCTGTGAGTAAAAATCACTTTAATGATTTAAAGCTTCAGCTTTAAATCATTAAAATCATCAAAAGCACATTTGAGTGCGGAGGTCAGCAGCGAGGACTCGAGTCCACAAACTGCACCGTGACGAGCACGAAGGACGACGTGTAAGCGGTTTAGTTTCCTCTTTACTCGTCAGACACACGAACAGACAGAAAGGAAAAAGGCTTTTCTGTCACAAGTTTGCAAAGTGTTTAGAACATAACAAGCTCTTATTGTAAGTAACTGAAGAAGAAAAGGCAACAGTGTAAAGATTAAAACAGCAAAAAGTAATCAGAGAGAAAGGCTCAAACTTTTCAGCGTCACGTGGAATATTGAACATTTTAACAAATGAGGATGAGGAGCAGCAGCTGGTACTCACAAAGGGGGAGTAAGGTTCTCCTCGCTCCGTGATTCCACCTGCCATGTTCACCTGAAGAGACACCACATCACCACCATCACGGACCACACACGCGATATCAGCTACGTAACAATAAACAGTGGAATGGGAAGAAAAACATGATAAATCCTTGTTCATCTTCGATGAGAAAAGAACTTCCATTGCCCCACTGGCAGTTCAGACGTTAAGGTGTGTGTTGTTAAAGTGTGTGTGTGCGTTTCCAAATGTCATTAAAGACATTTATACAATAGTAAACTACTTTTCAATTCGGCATAGTCACGACTGAGCTTGCGGCGCGTAGTTTACGTAGAATGATCCACAGACCACCGACGTCTAGTTAGCATTTCCTCGCTAGCAACCCAGCTAGCAGCGAAGGTGAGAACACATTCACCGTCACACAAAACCACGAGTGGGTCGTATATTTAGACGTTGGGTTAGATTCACTAATAAGCGCGTGTCAGTGATCAGAATCAAAAGTAAACACTCACCCCTTCCCAGTGCGTCTCGCTCGTTTAGCTGCTATGCTAACGCTAGCCGGAGGCTTCGGGCTGTCATGTGGATCGCTGGCTGGCTGAGTGAGCGCGTCGCCGGGTCGCTACCATGAGTCGTCCCGGTGCCCGGTCGTCGGGGGGAAGTCGGTTTGGAGGAAAACACCCCCCAGGCGGGCTGCCGAGTCTCTAATACTTCGATAAGTGAAGCAGCGAACTCAGCTGACCCGCTCCCGCATAAACACGCATCAAGCTAACGCTAAAAGAAGACACCTCTTCCGGTGGTTGCTTTCAGAGTAAAGTCCTTCTCACTCGCACTCTAATGCTCCACATATTAAAGCATTTATTGTGAAGGGCAGAATGAATGTGACGGTTCCGTTGGATTTAGCTTGATGCACCTTTTAGTGGGTTTGCTCGGTCAGTTGTTCCCGGCGTGGAAAACCGATCACGAGGTCAAATTAGATTGCAGAAGCGTGTTTTGTTAACCAATGCAGTTATCCACACAGTGCTGACTAATTTTAGGAGGATCGGTTCAGAGCCACACAAACATTTTGTGACGGCTCTTTGGTTAAATTGCCAAAAAACCCGCCCCTCCTTGCAGCCTGGGTTTGTAAAACGACCAAACCCCATGTCCCATGACATGTCATGCACACCTTTATCTTTATTTACAGATCAATCAATCAATCGATGGAGAAATAAGCAAATTCATCAAGAAAGACAATTGGGAATACTTTTATAATAATTTAATGATATAATATAGAATAGTAGAATAGTCACACGTTAAATCTTCTAATATTTTTATGTATTCAAGTTTATTATTGAAGGACCATTTTCAACGTAGAACCAACAAAGTTAAAGTAACACATTTTTCACTTGAATGCTTAAATCATTAAATCAATCATGCGTACATTTGTGTTCCGTTACATGTCCCTTCCCTCTCAATGTCTTCATTTCATGTCATACATACAATTGAAAATAGAAAAACACTTAATTTTATTGTGATTCTTACACTTTAATAAAGAAAGATTAGAAGACGGTTAATTAAAAACATTTGATTAACTATTAGAAACCTATACATTTGGTCATTTAAAAAAAGCATCAGTCAAAATTTAAGAGCAGATCAAACACACGTCAACCTTTAAATAATTTGTGAAATCCAGGCTGTGTACATGTACGTGAGAAAAACTACAGCAGTCAAAAGGTAGAGGGAGAAGAACACTCGGTCGATGATGTCCGCCAGCCTTCTGTAGCGTCCGGGCCGCATCTCGTCTTTGTTCGGCCCTCCCACTTCCTGTCGAGTGGTCTTCACTTCCTTCAGGATGAGTTTCAGCAGGTCGTGGCCTTCGGGCCGATCCGGAGGGACGGGACCATTCTCTGGAGCCTCTTCGGCTGGAGAAGGAGTGGTGGTAAAGGTCATGTCGTATCACTGATGCATCAGAGTTGTGTACCGGCGTATGAGAGGATTATTGATCTATTATTATTATAAAGTCAATATTTTGTCAGTGTAAATTAAATCAATGTGAAAAAAACGTTGCTTTTGTTTACACATTTTGTCTTTCTCAAATCTATTTTGTTTCATCAAGTTAAAGTAGTTTAGGAGGAAGTTTCCAAACCAAAAAACTCAGTTATGTTATTGTATTTTCATATTAAAGGTTGAAAACAATAATAATAAAAAGGCAACATCATTCTGTGGATACTGCAGAAGTCTAACTATCAAAATTGTTGACTTTTTGCATTATGATTTATCTCCTTCAGCCTGACATTAGTTCCCGGACTCTGCATTAGAAACGAACCTTTGTAAAAGTCCTCTTCCAGCTGGATTTTCTCCTCGGAGTTATCAGGACTTCGAGCCTTACAATATCCGTCGAGGTCGTGCAGGAAGCTGAGCAGCATGGCCTCCAGCACGCTGAGACCCACCAGGGCGAAGATCCCAACGCAGTAAATGGCTGTAGGACAACGGGGGGAGAAATATGTGGTCAGTGGGACGTTGTTGCCGCCGGGAACGGGGAATGTCCCAGAAACCCTGACTGCTCAGCGCTCCTCTAAGAAGCTTTCGTATCCTAAGACTCCTTTGGTCCTATAGGAGTTCATGAGAAAACGACTCTACTTCTCTGTAGTGACCAGCAGGGGGCGACACCTCTGGTCCCATCGAAGTCTATAAGAAGTCTCTCTTGATTTATTCCCTCAGTAAATGTTAAATGTAAAATGACGTACATTGTAAACATGAGTTTATGCTCTCAATCTCTAGTTTCAAGTTTTTACAGCATGATGTTTATTTAGTAAACGATGGTCCATTTAGAGTCAAACAGACCATAAAGCAGGAGGCGCTTTAGGGCGGGGCTACAGGCTGATTGACAGGCTTCTCCTCAGTCTTAATACTGTCACTTCTTTTTCACTGGTTGCAAAAAAACAATGGCGATGGACGTTAAGTGACATCCGATGCTTAAAAACGCGAGTTCATAAAACCAATGAGCGAGACAACAACTACGCCCACTTCCTATATAACGTTACGTTATCGTGCTTCGATCAAACGGTCGTTGTGCAGCTTCTGGTGGCCAGAAATCACCTCACAACAACAACAACGTTGGAAAAATGATCCTGACACAAAGCGTTCTCTTCAATAATCCGTAAGTCATCAACGTGAGAGAAAAACTACTTTGAGTCTTTGGATCTGGACCCACACTTCACCGGTCTCACCAATCATCGGTAGATGGTTTTCGGTTGAAGGCATCATGTCCTTCAGGATCAGCAGCAGGACGGAGATGGAGAGGAGCACCGTCACCTTGAAGCTCAGCTTCTCCCCTCGGGCTTCGCTGATGAAGAAGGAGGCAACATCCAGCCAGACGAAGAACAACAAGGGGAGGATGAAAATGACCACGTAAAGCAACGGCCTCCTGGAGATGGTGACCTGGACAAAACTACATGTTTGTTATCAATCAGAGGACAAAAACACTCTCACATTTTCATTCAAAATATGTTCTCACGGTGTAGATAAGTCTGTCTGGATATCTGGATATATTATTTCTGTATTCGAATATTTCCATCTTGTCGAGTTCCCACTCTCCCTGCGTCACCATGAACTCCTCCGATGTTCTGGTGAGCGCCGTTTCATTGTTGATGGGGCCCAGCATGATGCTCGCTTCTGTGCGGGGCGAAATATAACATTTAAAAAAGATAATACGCTTAATGCAGTTAATGCAGTTAATGCAGTTAATAAGGTTATTGCTGTTAACGCAGTTAATGCAGTAAATGCAGTTAATGCGGTTAATGCGGTTAACATGGCGTGATTTACTGTTCATGGAGGAGAAGGTGAAGTTGCAGCGCTGCTGGTCGAAGGGGAAGAGGGTGACGACCAGCAGGCAGGTGGCGGTCAGACGCTGGCGTGTGATTGCAAGCAGCGAACCTTCAGGAGACAGAGACACCAGAGGGCTGTGCTGTATGGTCCCAGAATCAGAGACGCTAGAAAGAAACATAGTTTTTATTTATTTATTTGTACTTTATAGTTATTTAAACGCTTATTTATATTTTATTACTTACTTATTTTAACATTTTACCATATTCTTATTTCTATTTTTGATGTATTGACATTTAAGTGATTAATAGTATGTATTCAACTCTTCTTTATCTGACAGATTATTATTTGCTCATTGATGTCCTTCAAAGACGCTCTTACTCCTCCACGATGAAGACGTCCGGTATCCACAGACTCGACCTCGGAACCATCAGCGTGTCGATCCCACAGAAGTCCGACGCATTCCAGGTGAGGAACTCGTTGTTCCAATGCTGTGTTTAAACACACACACAAACACACATATTTAAAACTCTCACATCTGGAGACAAAACATCACAGATGTTTCTCATTCTCACCATGTTTATCCAGATGTGACTGGTGAACGTTTGAGTCTTCTCGTCCTGCGGAAAAAAATAATCTCGATTTCATTGGACTGGTGATGACGTTGATGATAAAGGACGCAGATCTTTCCTTTGAGCTAAAGCAGAAAAGACCTCCTGCTTCTATGATTCTACCTGAGTACGGTCATTTAAAATGCAGTTACAAAAAACCCAAATAGTCTCAGAAGACACTCACCACCTGTAAAATGCCAAACGGCACCATGTCCACCTGGACCAAGGTGGGCGTCGTCCAGTTCTTCACGGGCCGCATGTTGACCGCGGCGCCGTTGGTGGTGGTCAGGTTCAGGTACGTCAGGAGGTCCAGGTACGAGCAGTCCGAGGTCTGACAGCTGCAGACACCTGAGGGGGGGGGCATGAGACATTTAGACCTTCATACGAACACCTCGCCTGACCTCAAGAGGAACAACTCACCGGTCAGAGCCATAAGAGCCAGAGCGCTCAGAGGCGACATGGCGGCGTGTCTTCCCCTCCAGCCGAGCCCTTTTTAAGCGGCGCTGCACCGGCTGGGGGACAATGAGGCCTCCGACTGGACGTTATTAATGGCCTTTGTCATTTGACTTCTGACATTTTTGATTAATGTCATCATGTTTGACTAATAAATCTGAACAAAAGGCTTCTGACTCTTTATCCCGTTTGTGAAATAAAACACTTTATTCATTCATTCATTCAAGGTAGTTTTAAACCAATTAACCATTGCGTTAGGTAAATAGTCACCATACAACCAATAATCATAATATAACAATGTGTGCATGAAGACAGAGTCCACAAAAACACACACATTTTACCTCCCAAAACACACGATGAAGCTGTTGTTTAAATATCCTACAATCACTCAAATAACAATGAGAATTCATATTAAATGTTTTAGTTTTATTAACGGACTAATAAGTCCTCACGTTTTACTTTTTCAGCCGGTTTCAAACCTCTTCTCCAGTTTTTTGCAACTGAATTATTTTAGGGTGTTTGGATTTACTCCAATAGAATAAACGTGTTGTTGTTGTTGTTGTTGCTGCAGAGTAGGGCTGTCAAAATTGCTCAAAAAGGACGTTCGAAAATTCGCTTTAAAAAAAGACAGATACTCGAATATATTCGAATGAAGCTTGTAAGTAATTTATTTAAATTTAAACCTATTTAACAACATATTACCTACACAAAAATAAGTAAATTAACTAATGGCCACGACTGCAGATCTCTCTCTCTCTCTCTGCAAAGCGGTTTAAATAAACGACAACAATAAACAAATGCTGAATGCTGATCAAGAGTTTTGTGCAGTTTAATGTTGCGATTCTTGTCCCAAATACGTCGGGCTTCATTCAACAAAACAGCACAAAGTCGCCGTGAGTCACTCTCGTGCTCTGCTGCTCCCAGTAAATCACTAATGTTCATTTTCTTTCGCGACAGCATTAAAGCGGGAAAACGTATAAAGTCACCGTGTGTTGTTTTACAAAACACTTCCTGTCATTTATTTCTAGTGAGACCGTGTGGTTGAGAAGAGGTCGCACGCGAGGTTATAAATATTAGAGGTGGACGTCATATTAAACCGAGCTGGAGAAGCTAGTTGGCTACAAGCAACTAGCACAGCACGGTTTCCTGAATCGGGCTGTTTTTAGCTAACGTTACAATAAAAAATATTGTTAAACACGTTGATGAAATGATTCCAGCGGATTTACATCACACGTCATTTATCTGACGCTTTTATCCAAAGCGACTTACAATAAGTTTGTTTCAACCATCAGCAAACAAACTCAGAAGAACAAGAAACAAGAAAGTGCAACTTTATTAAATAAGCCGATTTACAACCTGCTGTAGATAAGAGACGTTATAAGAACAATTTAAGTGACACAATTTGTTTAATGGTGTTAAGCTAAAGCGTAACTTCCCACCTTTCAAGCTAAATGCGGTTTTATTGATAAAAGTTGCATCGCGTTTCCCAGAGTCGGTAAAAGGACGCGAACGCCGGTGAATTAGCCGTATAATAGCAACCACATAGCTTTTAGCTTTTTTTCAAATTAATGTGCCTGCATTTAATATATTATTAGTATTATTAGTAGTGTGTGTCCCTTCTGGCAGAGAACTAATTACACAAACTGAGAATAAGTGACTCGGCTGGAAGCTTATCAACAGCTCCAAAGAACGCAGCAAAATCTCAAAATGGCGGAATACTTTTATTAACTGCTCACCTACAAGTTTACTTTACTTTCTCACCTGAAAACATAAAACTCAATAGCAGCTTTTCCTTCAAAGCTTAAAAAGAGTTCAAGTAAAGGATGATCAAAAAGATAGAGAGCGATGAGCGACAGAAGCCTCCCGAGACGAAGAAGAACGTGAAAGCCGACGGGTCCCTTCAGGAGGTCGATGGACCCGCGCGGCGGCGGCGAGGACTCAGGGGAAAACGTCGGTGGGCAGCGTGAAGTCTTTGAAGGTGTAGAAGGAGATGTCTCCGTGGTCCACCACGGCGAAGACCAGCGAGACGTCTCCGCTCTGAAGCGCCAGCGTCTTCAGGGCTCGCAGGTCGGGCACCGGGCCGCCAAAGCTGATACACACAGACAGGGGGGGTCACATGAGGGCAACATCTTTTAGCACATTGCATTCTGGGAATCGGTGGCGTTTTGTGTGGCCGGACAAAAGCGGATGGTTAGCAGGACACACAAACGCAGGCGGCGTGATGGATGGTTGACCATGTGACCAGGCGGCGGCCGTAAGCCGAGCTTGAGTCAACAGGGTGTGTGCGATCGGCCTACCTGCACACGCACACGCGTGAGTAGGGTTTCCCCGGGTCGCTCTTCCTGAAGTCGGCGACCGAGTCGGGTTGGTAAACGTTGAAGCAAATCCTCCACTCGCCCGAGTCTTTCAACCTGCAGGAGGGGGGAGGGGAGGGGGGGGCAAAGGTCAACGCTGCGTCCGGGCAACAAAGGGTCGCTTTGAGACGGGATTTGAGACGGGATCAGGTGATACCTGGACGCTCCCTCCAGTAAATGTGTAGATTTGATCACACTGATTTTATCCAGCAGCTCCCCTGGAACAAAAACAGGCCTCAGGAATCAGACATAAACCGCTTCGGATGAAAATACATCCAGAGTTCAGGTCCACGTGGTGTCACCTGTAGGGATCGCTTGTCCCGGGTCGTGTAAAGGAGTGACGTCTCCGTCCCACAGGTGCGCTGGTCGTCCGGAACGCCTCCCCCGCCTCCTCGCCAGGAGCGCCCGATACTCCGTCCAGTTTCTGCACCGCCGAACCTTGAAGTGATCTCACAATGTGACTCCGTCCTATAAACAGACTTTAAGGTCACGCACGCCACGCACCTCCCTGTCCTTGTTGACTCCCCGCCGCTGCTCCTCCCTCTTCTGCTCCTTCGGGGACGTCTTCACCTCCCTCAGGTTGATCCTCCGCCTCCAGGGGGCGACGTCACAAACGCCCACGGCCAAAGACGCGGGCAGCAGGGACGGGTCCGGGGACGGCAGGCGGCCGGGCTGGCGCTCCCTGGAGCCCACGTCGGGGAAAAGGATGGAGCTGAAGTCCCAGTGGGAGGAGCCAGAGGCCGGCGAGGGATCCGATTGGCCCCCATGAACATCCGTCAGCCACCAGGTCCCGCCTCTGCCCTCTGAACCCTCGACGGCGGGCCGGACGCCGGAAGTCTCCGGAGGAGTTCTGTCCTCGTCCTTTCTGTCCGACGCTTCAGAGCTGCGAGCGTCAAACGCCGCCAGTTAACATAATATTATGCATAATAATAAAAATGCTCAGACAGAATTTCAGAGACAAAAAACAATAAATACATAAATAAAAGGGAAGGAGGAGCAGCCGCATTCACCTGTCGCTGCGCTTCCTCTTCAGGCGGGTTCCCGCTCGGTCACGTGACCGCGGCAGGTTGAGCTGCCGCTCGTACGACGACGGCTGGCAACTGTGAGAACAGGAAACGCGCACACACACACACACACACGCTGATGTACTCTTTAAATACCAGAGATCCAGTGTGACGCGGGTGCTGAGTGTGGATCTCATTGGTGGCTGAGTGGATAGTTGATAGTTCTCAGTACTTCCTCTCTGGGCTCAATATTTAATGCAGTGGTTACCAAACCTTTTCCGTCGAGCCCCCCTTCGATGATTAAACATCACTGATTGTTTAGCCTCCAGAAATACGTCACGCTTCTTTCATTTTATTATTACTTTAATCTTCATCCCGTCCGACTCGCGGCGCTTAAGATTTACCTGGAATCGAACCGGTGGACCACGAAGCCGAGCCTCTTCAAATGCCCGAACACCTTGGTCACAAGAGGAGAGGAGTCAGGGGAGGGGTTAGGAGAGGAGTTAGGGGAGGAGTTAGGAGAGGAGTTGGGGGAGGAGTTGGGGGAGGAGTTGGGGGAGGAGTTGGGGGAGGAGTTGGGGGAGGAGTTAGGAGAGGAGTATGGGGAGGAGTTAGGAGAGGAGTTGGGAGAGGAGTTCGGGGAGGAGTTAGGAGAGGAATTAGGGGAGGAGTTGGGGGAGGGGTTAGGGGAAGGGTTAGGGGAGGGGTTAGGAGAGGAGTCGGGAGAGGAGTTAGGGGAGGAGTTAGGAGAGGAGTTAGGGGAGAATTTGGGGGAGGGGTTGGGGGAGGGGTTAGGGGAGGAGTTAGGGGAGGAGTTGGGAGAGGAGCTGGGAGGAGTTAGGAGAGGAGTTAGGGGAGGGGTTAGGAGAGGAGTTAGGGGAGGAGTTAGGGGAGGAGTTAGGAGAGGAGTTAGGAGAGGAGTTAGGGGAGGAGTTAGGGGAGGAGTTAGGGGAGAATTTGGGAGAGGAGTTGGGAGAGGATTTGGGGGAGGAGTTGGGGGAGGAGTTGGGGGAGGAGTTGGGAGAGGAGCTGGGAGGAGTTGGGGGAGGAGTTAGGGGAGGAGCTGGGAGAGGAGCTGGGAGGAGTTGGGAGAGGAGTTAAGAGCGCGTCAGCCCGCTGGGCGTTTGTTCAGTGTACCTGGTACTGCAGGAGGCTCACTGTGCTCGGTGAGAGGAACCTCTCGTACCCGTCCTGCACGGACAGCGGCAGCTCCAAGTGGAACACCTGCAGGTTCCCAAGTTTCACACAGGACACCTCGGTCAGCGTGGGACGGGGGGTGAACATGAGCGTGTGAAAACCAGAAGCCCCCCCTGATCAGCTGTGTGCCACTCACACACTCCATCAGGTAAAGAGCCTCCTCGGGGAGGAGCAGCTGCTTGCCGCAGGCGGAGAAGCCCATTGTCTGCCAAAACTTGCCCTTTGGTTGAAGGGGAAAAGGAAAAGGACACAGGTTAATAATTGGAAAGAAAGGAGAGCAGAAGTTAAGGAATCATCACAGTGTGTGTGTGTGTGTGTGTGTGTGTGTGTGTAGCGACTCCTCTGCTCCCATAGACGTCTATGAGGAAATGACTCTACTTCTCTCTTGATTTATTCCCTCAGTAAACGTTGTAAACATGAGTTTATGGTCTCAGTCTCTAGTTTCAAGTCTTCTTCAACACAGCGTGATGTTCATTTAGTGAATGATGGTCCACATAGAGTCAAACAGACCATAAAGCAGGGGATGCTTTAGGGCGGGGCTACACGCTGATTGACAGGTCTCTAATAGACCATGAAGCAGAGGATATCTGATCTGAAGTTGATGGTCATCATATTTTTTGTTTCCACTGGATGCAGAACTCACGGCTGGAGACTGAAGCTCCACGATCCCCTCACTTGGGATCCACGTGGCCTTCACCAGGTTTCCTCTACATCAAAAATAAAAAAAAACAGGCGGTTTGTCAGGCGGTGGATGTTTGCACCACATTTGTCTTTACAGGGAGACGACTCACAGCTTCTCCACCCTCTCCTCCGACACGAGGCTCCAGTGCTCCGTCAGACTCTGCTCCAGCCGCTGCCTTTGCTCCTCCGAGTCATCGGGGAAGAAGTCCTTCTGACCTCTGACCGGGATCTTGTGACTCCTGGATCGGGCTGCAAACAGCTCTGTCGGACTGCAATTTAGAGACGTGGCCGTTTGTTTTATGAGGAGATAAAGGTAAATATTAAAGATAAATATTTTTATACGCACACTGAAACATCCGGATGAGAAAACCTGCTTAACAACTTCTTGAGTGAGTGCATGAGTCAATGCGGCCATTTTTATAAAGAGCAGCTGACGACAGCAAACAGGAAGTCAACTGGTGGTTCTACATTTTAGTTTATTAACATTCAGTCATTTTAATGTTTGTTTAATCAAACGAGCATTGCGACTGTGTCACGTTGGGCACTAAGTGCTTGTGACGTCACAGTGTTGCGTTTAAGTGCTTGAAGGCAGGATCGACTAAACGCGTAACGTCAGGTGCACGTAAACACGACTCAAATAAAACAGAAATCGCAGTTTCCGTATTTTTTCGCGTGCTAACGTTGACTGTTTGTCAAAAGCATAAAAGTGGAATGTTTTCAGTAAATGAAACTCACGCACGTTAATATCTCGTTGTACTGCGTGGATTCGGTGTCCTCCTTGTTTAGGTCCGCCATGTTTACAAGTTCTCCCGCCACTAGTGCGCATGTCCCGTTTCCCGCGAAGCTGATTGGTCAGCTGCGTTCACTTCCTGCTTCTCGGTGAAGCAAGACGATGGATATTATATTATAAATGACACATTAACGCATCATCTACTCGTCATTATTACAAACATCCACGCAGACGGTTCATCTTTGCCGATGAAGTTTGCGGTATCTTTTGTGAATTCAAGCGATAGGACGGTCCGTCGCTCTAAAGAGTCGTACATTTAAGAGGCTTAGTACAAAGGTTCCGGGTGTCAGTAGAGCCCGAACCCTTGCTAACAATTATATATTTACAAAGGAATAAAAGATAAACAAATGCGATATCGTTGCTGCAGAAAGCGGTTCCCATTATGGTATGGAAGAATGAAGTTGTACTAGTCTGCACTTTTGTGGGACACGTTCTCCTTTTGTCTCTCAAACATGTTTTTATAGGCCGGGTTCAAACCAACCTCGGTGGGAAATGTTCTCGGTCAGGTTCAAGTTGTCTTTATTCTTAACTAATGTCTGAAAACGCTGAAAACACTAAGACTGACAGGTTCCACCAAACTAAATATGCCACTTAAGCCTCAGACCTACACCTGCTCAGGTGAGATGAAAATAGTCAACATGCTGCCTAGTTGTAATGACTGGAGACACTTTGACTCCACCAGGTCAGATGTTGGACTCACCTGGATTATCACATTCAAACATGTGAAGAGGAAATGTTAAGTAGAGAAACTAAAAATATAATAGTTGAACAACCTTTAGAGTACTTATGTATATTATATATTAAGCTCTTTTCCAGTTCACTTGATAAGTATCGCACAGCGGAGGAAACAAACCACGTGCTCAATCATTTGTACAAAATTGTTCATTTAATAGAAAAGCACTCTGACTCAACTTAAAAGTTCACAACGTCGAGCGGTTTTATTTGATTTTTTTTTCCTTGTTTCCTCGACATGGCTCCTCTCATCTTGTGCAAAATGCGGCTGGTCTCGTGCGAATCAACAAAAAGATACATTTTATTCCCCCCAAAACAGAAAGAGCACCCTGCTCGTCACTCCCAGCGCAAACCTCTAAAGCTTCTTATTTTCTGGGGGCAGTTTCTTGATACGAGAAGGAGCTGACGGACCTGAAATCAGCATCTGGGACCTTCGGCTTCCGTTCTCTCTGGACCTTTGAGATCATTTTAAAGGCAGTGAGCTTTTTATTTTTGAAATGTTCACAGGAGACACAAAAGAGCGGAGAAATCTGAAGCAACGTCGTCTCCTTTGGTGTGTAAACTACGAAAATAAAACTAAATACAAAAACTTGCCGTGAGGCGTTCAGGCTTCCTGAACAATCGTATTCAAAAACTAATTTATTGGTTTTACAGTCGCATGTTCACAAACACCAGCTGTGGAGGAAAATAGACTTCTGTTCACGCAGATTTGTATCCTTTTATCAATTTTCGGCAGCTCTTTGTGCGTGACGTCAGCCCAAAAGAGAAGATTCTGCTCGTAAGGATCTGAAATAAAAGACACTGGAACCGGCACAGGATTAAAACCCCCAAAGGGAGACTGAATCCCGTCGATTGAAAACGCTAAAAACACGCCGTATATTTGTGAGGACTGAATCGATTTACAACTAAAAATAAAACAAGTTTGTTGTCTTAACAAAAGCAGTCCTGGATTTGATTGGTGGTGGTTTTAGAAAACGGAGGCCGAGCAGGAAGTGGTCGTGTTTGAGTGTGAGCGCTGGCAGTGGAGGTCGCTGAGAGACAACAGCAATAAAAGATCTAGCACCAGAGAGAAGGTCTGATCCAGAGAGATCGATGCATGTATATAGATCTACATATTTATAGATCTACATATGTATAGATCGATATATAGTGAACAGATGGAGAATATCAGAGACTTGATAAGTCATCTGGACACGGAGACCTGGAGACCTTGTTAGAGACCTGAAGACCTGATTAGAAACCAGGTGACACCCAGAGAACGAGTAACAGTCCATGACGCTTTATCACACACCCAGAGACCAGGTGAACTCATCGGGACAGCTAGAGACCACATCAGACCCCCAAAAGCTGATTGGTTCTTCACACCGAGGACGACGAAAGGAAAAGTTGGATGAAGAGAGAATCCGGCTCGTCAAGAGTCCAAACTGGTCCGGATCAGTTGAGCTTCCTCGGCGGTCCAGTCTTCGTTAAGCTCGGTGGGGTCACAACTCCTCACTTCTCCCCCGGTAATGATGAAACGGCTCCTCTGTGAATCCCACCAACCGCTCGCCCTTCAGTCATTTATCTTCACGTTCAGAGCCGGAGAGTCTCCGCTTGCCGGTCGTCCTTTCCGTCGCAGCTCCTCCTCTCTCCTGCTGCTGCTGCTCTTCCTCTTCTTCCTTCTGGTCCTTCTCCTGCTGCTGCTCCTGCTCTTCTTCCTTCTCCTCCTCCTCTTCTTTCTGGTCCTTCTCCTGCTGCTGCTCCTGCTCTTCCTTCTTCTCCTCCTCCTGGTTCCCGTTCTGCACACAGCCGTTGATCTTCTCCTCATGACGCTGTGAATCCTCCAGATCCGGGTCCAGCTCTGGTTGGGACTCCACGGCCGTCTCCCAGTCGTCCTCCTCGTCCTCCTCCTCCTCTTCCTCCGGCTCCTTCTGCCTGTGAGCGCGCTGGCTCTGCAGGAGGCGCAGGCGGGCCATGGCCTGGTCGATGGTCTGCGTGGTGACCAGGTTGAAGTCGTGCATGCTGATCAGGTGCAGCAGGAAGTTGCGGCAGAGGTCGTTCCTGACGATGTGGACGCCGTGGTGGTCGGCGAACCTCAGGCAGGACTCGTTCATCTGATTGTCTGCTATGAAGCTGCAGGAGGGGCCGAGGAGAAGAGGGGTTAATGTTCAGTTGTCTGATATTAAACAGGTCAATGGACGCCCCTCAGGAGAATATTAAGGTCTAAATGAGATGAGCCAACATCCTCCTTAAGTTTAGAGGTGGACCAGGAGTCATGTGACCCTGGTTCCTCTGCACCTAACGTGAATCATCATCATCTGTACACATCACCCTTGCCGCTCTCAGTTAGACGAATCAGCTCGACTCAAACGCCCCACAGCTGCTGATCTGGAAGTAAACCAAACATCGGCCTCCCGATTGTTCTCCGTTATACTCGTACACACCCGTGCTTCATGACGTGGAGGTTCCACAGCTTCATGATCTCCTTCTCACCCTCGTTGACGTCGGTGAAGTCCTCGATTTGCTGCAGAGAGAGAAGAGCGACCCGGCTTTAGACTTCCTTAAAGTGAACCCCGGGACACAGTGCCCCCCCCCCCATCGCTATATAAACTAACCATGGCGGTCTTCTCTTTGAGCCAGTCGGGGTCGCGCTCGTCCTCGCTGTCCACCTCCATCTCCTGAGGACGCAGCGGGACGCAGCTGTCGCTGTGGAAGTAGAGGCGGTTGTGTCCGCTGACGATGGGCTGCTCCTGGTCTCCGTCCTCCGGCTCCAGGAACTCGGACAGACTCGCCTTGGTCCTCTTCGGTCTGGAGAGTTCCGAGAAGGTATAAAGAGGAGAAAGTCGTGCTTGAGAACCACTGGCACCGTTGACAGGAAGTCAGGCGGTAGAAAAGCTGACAGATGTTCAGACATTTAGAACATGTGAAGTACTGTAGAGGACGTATTTTATACTCTTTAATGGAGGAATGCGCTCGTATATTTTACCTCTTTACTTTGTGGGACACTTACATCTCTACAAAGCCTCCAAGTCAAAACCATCATTTATTTCAGAAAGGTTACATAGAAAACAGTAAAGAGGAAAAGTCCACCCTTCACTTAAAGTGACACTGACGACATTTAGGACTTTTTGCCCCTGTGTGCTTCTCTTAGCTCCTCCCACTCAAGTGACAGAGCGGCGTGGACGCTCACGGACCTGCAGACGACCACGTGGGTGACGGCCGTCCTCTTGACCGGCCCGTTCCTGCTGAAGGCGAAGCCCGGCTGGCCGTGGATGTCCTGCGGGTTTCCTGCGTACGAGCCGTCGTAGCACTCGTTGATGGAGACCTCGATCTGCGCTCCTTTGGGGTGGGGCTGCCAGAGGTCAAGAGGTCAGGGTGAGGTTAAACAGACGGCAGCAACATCTGGAATACGGCCAGGTCTGTCGGTATTATTAGTATCAAACTGTACGCATCAGTGAACATCTGAGGAGCACGTAGATAATGGGAGGATCGTCGTCTCACCACGTAGGTGAAGATGAAGCGGGAGTGGGACAGCTTGAGGTGTTTGATCAGACTGTAGAGCTTCCTGCAGTTGAGGGTGCACCAGGGACAGTGGAGGTCGTCTCTGGCCTCCGTCTGCTGCTGCGTGTTGCTGTTGTACTGAAACTGGACGGAAACACAAGGGAGGTGAGACGGACACTGACGAATAATAAAATAGAACAACTCCCAGAAACGCGGTGGGATTGATCATCCCGGCGCTTTCAGAACCCACCTGGTAGAAGATGCGCAGCTTCTGCCGCGGCTCGGCGGAGACGAGCTCTCTTCTGGCCGTCACGTCCGCGCTGACCAATTCTTTAACAGCTGGAGCAAGGTGAGGGGTGGGGGTGAGGGGGGAGAACATCAGCCTCATCTGTTGCACCTCCGATGGATCTTTAGAGAAGCTTCCGTGGCTCACCTGGCGTGTGCGTGGCCCTCAGGGCGCTGGGCCGCGGGTCCTGGTTGGTCTCGGAGTTGCGGGTGGCCAGAGGTTTGGCCACGGGCGCGGTGGAGCGGTCGGAGTCGCCGCTGGTCCAGCGCAGCGTGAACTGCAGGGTGGGACCCTGAGAGAAGCTCTCGAAGGGAGGCAGGCGCTGGGACACAAAGGGAGCGCTCATATCAACCCGACTGGAGCCAATGTGAAGGTAACAGAGGACGGGTCCTGCACCACGATCCCTCATCGATAACCTTTACTTACCATCTTCCTTTACTTCAATTGATCTGTATAATCACAAATTGGCCTCAGAGGGCTTCACCCACCCAGACAAGTCCCGTATCTCCTGCTCACCTTTCCATCCAAGATGGTTTCCCACGTCGCCCTCTTCTTGGTGACCGGACACTCCTCCATCTCTTGCATAGACACCTCGTACTCCCCGTCCAGCAGCTGCAGACGTCTGCACAGCAACAACAACAGGGCGTCACTTCTGGAGATCGGGAAGCAAAAAGACGTCCTGGCCAACTTTCCTGTGCTTTCACCTGTTTTTGTCAAAGACCGTCATCTGGGCCACAAACGCGGTTTCTCCCTCCTCCCGGAGAGAAGAGCTCCGCCTCTTCCTGTTCACCACTTCCTCTGTGAAATCTGAGACAGTGGTGACGTGTAAACATTCCCTGTTGCCACGGTGACCATGAAGTATACAAAAATACACTCACCAAGCTGAGTTTAAAGCTGTAAATATTGATGATATTTAATGAACAAGGTTTAAGGAAGAGTTTACGTTAATGTGCTGGATCATTTAATATAATTGTGTATTTTGTGGCCCCCACCTTAATATGAAAGCTTAATGTTAGTGCAGCCCCGCAAGTTTTACATTGTAGCAACCCCGCTGATTTAGAGTCAAACAGACCACAAAGCAGGGGATGCTTTAGGGCGGGGCTACACGCTGATTGACAGGTACTGACATATCAAAGACAGGTGTGGGAAACGTACCCAGACCCCTGCTGTGGTGGTTCTCTCCGTTGGCCAGGCCGTTGATGGGAGTCCGGGGGCAGCCGGGCCTCGACACCCTGAAGAGCAGCGAGTAGGACTTCACCATGTGGGAGTTGCTGGGCTCAAACTCGCTGCTGGAAACCAGCAGCGAGGGGGAGGAGCCTGGCTTGGCCTGGACTCCCGGGTCTGGATTCAGGGGAACCTGCTTCTTCCCGGTGGGGACCTGCTTCACCGGACAGCTCACGTCCTGGACACCAGACATGTAGGATTACGTTAGTGTGATGAGAGCGCAGAAGGAAGGACACACACACACACACACACACACACACCTTCCTCTTCTTGTGACAGACTTTGACCAGCAGCACCTCCAGAGAAACAGAGTTCTGCTCGTTCTCACTGTCCTGAGACGGCTTCCCTGAGGACGCAAACAAGACACTTCTAGTTACTAACAACTTATAACATCAGTCAATATAGAACAATGACAATAAAATCATTTCTTGCACCTTTTCTCTCATGCAAAAGACCAACGACCATAAACATTCTATTCAGTGTCCTTTTAACAACAGTTACTCAGCGTGTAGTAAGGAAATTAAGAGAGTAATAAAGCTTATATCAGACAAACAGAAGCAGTATGCGCATTAATGTGTAAAGATGCTTTAAACCGTTTGGTATTCATCCATAATGAGCCGCTTAAAACGCTGCATCGTCTCCTTTCCTTGTGTGAAGCACACTCCAGTGTTCCCTAAAGGAGATAACCAAGGAAACGCTTCCTCCCTTTTCACAGGATTTCATCAGCTGGCAAAAACCTTCTAAAATGAAACAAACAAAAAACAACAAAACAACTTACCAGCTTTATGGAAGAAGCCAGTAAAGATGAGCTGCAGATTAGAGGCCAAGCTGGAAAAAACAAAACAGTTTATTTATATTTGATCAAATAAATCAGAATGACCTTTTACATCTATGAAGTCAAACGGTATTGTTTTAAATATCATCCCAACATGGCAGCTAATAGCTCAGCATGATGTCTATTGTACAACGGCTATATAATATATAAAATGATATTCACTTTAACGTGAAATATTCAACTAAATAACGTAAAGTTAAAACCAACAAAGCAACAGGGAAACGAAACAGCGGAATAGAAAATATGTTGTTGGTTTTCAGAGGTTTTATTGTAATTGTTCTGGGTGCTTTTATTGTGACGATCTCATTGCTGCAGTCGAACACACAACTACTCGTTGTTTAATCAAACGCTGGCGTTTGGTGTCGACTCTTCCACACAAGTCGCTTTTGTCTGAGGCAAATTTGTCCTTTCGGCTTATGCAAAATAAAATGAACATTTGAGGATGAAAACGATCGGTTCCATGATGAATGAAGCAGAACACATTTCAGAAATAAAGTTGTAGAAATAAGGTGTTAATAAGTACTATAGAACATACAACCAGCACTTTTCTAGAAGTAGAAAGATTTTCATAATAAACACTGGATTAAGCGTTTACCTGTGAGTCTCCTGTTCTCCTCTCATCTTCTCCACCTTGAACAACAGATTGTCGACCTTTGAGCTTTTCCTGTACGTGGAGACAAGACGGCAAGTTAACAACAACGACGAGAGCTCGCTGGATAGAAGGAGTCGTCTGACTAACCGCACGTGCTCTAAACGCGGATAATGAGCCAAACGGAAAACACACACAAGCCCGTCTGTGCTTCACGGCCGGAATGATCGATTCCTTTCACTCTAATTGGCTTCTCAGTGACATCGAAACATGGAAGCTTTGAGAAAGGAAACAGGAGGGAGAGGAAGCTCCGCCTCCTTGATCGCCCAAGCTCGGTCTTCTGAAAACGCCATCGGCCGATCACTGAAGCGTCTCTGCCTGATGACACCATTTAAAACTTCCCATTGCAATTTTCTGCTTTTATTAAGATTTACTGGGTGTCAAAACTGAATTTCAGTTCAATTTTCAGAATTGCACATAACAAATATTTTTCAAAGTGAAACAACCAAACAATCACCCATCAGCACATCATCATCATCATGGACAATCCTTCCACAGGACGGTCTCCTGGGTTCAAAGGTCGACAACAAGGCGAGGCAGAGGTCCATTCAGCCGAAGCTCTCAAGCTTTTGCTCCTCAACATCCGCCAGCACTCGAGAAGACAAGAGGGGGTCCCTCTGATGCGCATCAGAGGGACCCCCTCTTGTCTTCTTCCCTTGCGTCTGTCGAGATAAACTATTTAAGACAAAGTTCTGAACCCCAGAAGATAACCATGAACACTGTTCATCTCCGTTTTTACCTTTTGAGGTTATTCCTGGAGTTTCTGTGGGACATGTAGGTGAGAGTCCTGTGCAAGAAGATCGGCTGATGAAGAGAGAAAAGAAAGAGGTCAAGTGTCAATTCTCCTTCTGGTGAGGTGAAGTCATGGAGGACGTTGAAGGGGAGGAAACACTCACAGCGATCAGGTTCCTGGTGCGGAGGAACCTGTAGATCTGAGTGGGCTCTGAAAATAATCACAAAAACACTTGATAAAAGTTCTTTAGAATCTAAAGAGCAACAGGAGCTCTGTCCCCTCAGTGCTGAAGCCGCGATTCACATTCTGATGGAAGAAGATAATATGAAGTCATTTCTCAGGGAAAAAATAACAGACATTCTCTCTGTAAATGGAATGAGACTTTTCTCTGTTTACTATTTTTACTTTTGACTGTTAAAGAAGATTTTAGATCATTTTGAGTCCAGTAACTTCATTTTTATCCATTTTATAAACTACATAATTGAATTACGCCTCGTGCATTAACAAAAACAAATCCAGCATTGCAAAATGATAACAGCAACAAATTAAGATAATGGGATTATTTGCTTTATCTTGTGATATCAAACCACATCAAATAGGTAAAAAACCAGCGGATACAACCGAAGGAATGACAACAATGCTGGAATGTAACTAAGAATATCTACTAAGTGCCAACTCAAGGTACTTGTACTTTACATTTTACACAACTTTTAACTTCACCAACATTGTACTTTTTACAGTACTACATGTGTGACTTACATACAGTACTTTAGTTCACCACATATGGATTAAATACTGTCCAACATCCCAGAGATGAACATGTTACTGTAGTACATCGAGGTAATTATACCTCAAGAGTTCCTTTTCAGATGAGTTTTTCATCCCCTTCCTGTTCCGTTTAAATCGCGTACTTGTGATAAATTACACAGCAGTAATTATAGTAATAATAATAATAATAATAATCAGAAACAAACACATGAATCCGGAATCCATCGGATGTGACGACAAAACATTGTACTGCTCAAACGTGTCGCGTACTGCAAGTCTCGTACTATTAGAGGAGTACAGTGTGTTTTAAGTACTTTTACAGCACTTAAGGATCCGACCCCTTTATACGTAACGTGTTTAGCAGCTGTGAAACGATCCGCTGGGCCCCTCGTGTCACTTTCAACCCGGTTCGACTTCCGGAGACTTAAATCAGCAGCAATATCTTCAAATGAGCACCACGATGACAGCAGCTACTCACTCTCGAAGGCCTGCAGGAACAGCTCGTGGTCGGCTTGGATGAGTTGCATGTTGGGCTTCTTGGCTGCAGCCATCGAGGAGGAGGAGGAGGAGGAGGAGGAAGAGGAGGAGGACGACGACTGGTAGAACCCGTTGGCTTTACCTCCAGAACCAGAACCCGCCGGGTGGCTTCCACCCGAGGAGCCCTGCTTCTGTGGAGCCATTGGCTCAACTCAACGAAACGAATGGAGGAAAGAATCCGGCCCACCGGCAGATGTGAGCTGGTGGTTTAAAAAAAAAAAAGAAAAAGAAAGAAACTCGGCTTCCTTTGTCAAAACAAAAGAGCGGTGTTTGTTGGAAAAACAGCTGCCGCTTATGCGAAACACCGCTCGCTCTCCATTTTAAAAGCGACGTGTGTGCGTTTCGGTCCTTTTTCTGTTCGACGCCGGCGAAGCTGCGCCTTGCAGTCCAACGTTTGAGCTCAGCCGGCCGGTTGAACGGTGACAGAGGTCGGCGAGCAGGCTGGAAATGCGCGAAACGAGAGAGCAGCCTACGGCAAGCTGACGCGGCTCGCTAGCTAACCGGCTAACTTCCTTAGCCAGTTAGCAACTAGCTCGGGCTAACTGGATAGCATTGTCCGGCGCTGTTGGCTTCACTAATCCAGGGCTGGGGAGCTGCTGTCACGCGAGAAGCGATTAAACACGCATGTTTTCTGCGGGGTTGATGCCATAATTTCACTTAAATTCGCGTTATATTTCGCCTAGCGCCTGTCGGCAAGTTGGCTCGGCGGCACAGGCAAGCAACATAAAGTATCCGTGCCCTCATCCGGTCAGCATTTTCAGAACAAAATCCGACTAAAATCGAAATCTCTAACCACGCGTTTTACACGGTTTTTATGTAACACCCGTAGATATCTCGATGTCAAAAGTACATTCTAAATTACATAAGTATTATATTTAACATCAATCACCCATACATGTGATCTTGATCAAGAAAATGTCCTCACAATTTTGAAAGTACATTCCGTTATGAGTTCCGGTTTTTTGGCCTTAACATGGCCAACTTGTCTAAATATACGTTGGAGCTTCTTATCGGTTGAAAGATCCCGCCTTCTAAGAGCTCTACCCAATCACCGTGCTTGTTTGTGAAATGCTAAGCTCTCATTGGAGGGAATATTGGCCAGTCTGTGCAGAGGCACATTTGCCGCCCGCAGCCTGGCGAGCCAAGTCTAAAAAAGGGCATAGCAAGTTTGATAGAAAATAAACACATATACGTCGATATATCAAGTTAAAAAAGCTTTCACGTTTAAATCAATACCAGAATAAATTGTTAACAGATATAATTTTCTAAGAATATAGTAATTTTGAGAAATGTCCATTTATTTTGGAAGCAACAGATTAATTGAGTCATTAGTCCAAAATATTGGAATATTGGTTCAAAGCCGAGGATTCATCTCGAGTATCCTCCACCAATGACCACATCAAACAAAATGGTAAATTAATGCGTTTATAATTCAATGCAATGTTTCGTTTGATCGTGTTTTTGTTTTCACTGTGATTGGTTCAAGAAAACGATGACGTCACACGCAGCTAATCTTTCCCGATGCGTGCGGAATAAACCACCGACCCACGCGAGGTCCGTGATGCTTTTCCACGGGGGAACTCGGATGAAGCCGAAGCACATTCGGGAGTTTGAGGTGTTGATCTGAAGGAGTGGAGACCTTTTACGAAGCAGCTCGTCGTAGTGTGCTGATGTTTTTTGCAGTCACCAAAAGCCTTTAGTTATTACAGTTTTTTTCTGATTGCTAAACGGCAGCGGGCACAACTGGAGTCACATGTGCAAAACTCTAACTCCAGTCTGCACCACCAACAGTCACCTGAACAGTTCACATCACCTGCAAAACTCACTCCAAGCAACACAACTCTTAACACGTGACTCCAAACAGGCTCAGTGCAGCAAACACTGTGAGAACACACACTGTCACTCACAACACACACTGTCACTCACAACACACTGAGAGTACGAACACCAACACACAAAATACTCACTGTTCATCTTTTCACTTTGAACCATTTCAGTGACGTCATACAAAGTAAGATTTTCTTCAAAGAAAAGAGTGACATTCTTTCACATGATTTATTAACATTTTTAGAACATAATTCTTTAAGGTAAATAAAAATTTGAAGTTTGCTTCAATAGTTTGTAGTAATTTACGGAATTACAGTAATGAGAAAAAAAAAGGTAGAAACTAAAAGTACAGACTGTAATGTGAACAAATAATTAAGGGGCTGATCCTGCCTCTCTAGCATCAGGACACAGGTTCTCATCACCATCACATCTGATGTTCTCTCTCCATCAACCTGGGGAAGAACCTTCTGGAAGCCTCATCCATCCCTGGCCGTCCTCTGGACTCGTGTCTTCACATCCGGCTTCCCAAAGAGACATCTGGACATGTGGGTGGAGACCAAACACCTTCCACCTCCAGGCAGAGAGAAACTCCTCTCACCTGTTTGTGTGATGGAGAAGTTGCATCACAGACGCCACTGTGGATGTTTGCAGATCGGGTTCCACCCTCAACGCTCTCAGTGAGAGACGTGGTTCACCACATGGTCTATAAGTGAAGCCTTATTCCATCTGAAATAACAGCTCTTTGTCTTCTTTGTCTCCCTCCACCAACCCGTCTTCCTTCTTCCATTTACAGAATGAGTCTTTCTGAGCTCTACCTATAATATATACAGTATATATATATATATATATATATATAATATATTATTGCCCGAAGTTGGCTGGGATGGACTGCAGCCCCCCCGCGACCCTGTGTGCAGGATAAGCGGTTTGACAATGGATGGATAATATATATGTGTGTGTGTTCACTAACAAGTCACCCGCTCAGCCTTTCAGCTGAATAGAATCATCAGTGTTTTAAAGGCACATTCCTTTTTTAATGTGTGGTTCACAGTTTTGACAGCAGTGTGTTGCATTTGAACAAAGTGCTGTAAATCCACAGTGTTGTGCAGGTTGTGGAGACGTCATGGGATAAGTGTGTTGAGTTTTGAAAACTGTGTTCAAGCAATGAAGACGACAAAAGCGAACTAGAGTTTGGTCCTCATGAACGGCTGCTGTGCAGACTGGAGTCAGAGTTTTGCACATGTGACTCCAGTTGTGCCGGCTGTCGTTTAGCAATCGAAAAAAACCTGTAAATTCACATTATTTGTTTGTTCAAATAATATAAACCACATTGAAAACGCACAACATAAACAAAACAGCGTCAGCAAACACGCGTCTACAACTCACAAAAAGGTTATAAAACAATGAGTAAAACAAATTACTGTAAAAAGGAAGTTTTTGTAGAAAATGGCATTATTGTAATACAACTATGCATTCCACTAGAATAAATGATTTCAACAGAATAATGGTAATGCCCAAGAATGAATGTAACAATGGTACTAGATTTATGCAGATATTACCCCAGCATTCATATATGAATATGAACATAATGCCTTCGCCACAGCCTTGTTCCTGTAGTTTATACGATACTGATCTTCTGCTACTTATCGTCCCATTTAATGTAAAATATTTGTTTAAATTCCAAAATGGAATGACTTTTTTTTACTTTAAAAGTTGTCGTCAATCTGAATTATTTAACACAAAAACTAACTTGTTATTCTTGACGGAAACAAAAGGGTCCTTATTAAAACACACAGCTTGAACGCCAGTAATGATTTATTATTTAAACATATTCCTGTTAACGGAATCCACGGTAGTGCTTAACCCCAGAAAGTGAATAGTTATGGAAAGCAATATTTGGATTAAATCATGAGGCCGTCTGCAGAACCCATTTGTGTTTTGTTTTCAAGCCAACTTTACAGAGCTAAAGTTTTAAAAGTTAACAGTCTCCTGATGAAAGAGGCTCAGCAAGAAAGTCACATGACCTGATGCCCGTCACTTCCACATTGAGATAAATTAATGAGCACTACTGAGCAGCCCGATGTGTGAAACATGAGAACACCACTGATCTCGAGGTCATTGCGTTGTGATGTCGGGATAACGGAGTTAAAAAAACAACTTCTGTAACAAATCCAAAAGGTTAAAATTCTATGTGTCTCCGCCTATCAGCACACATTTAAAAAATGGCATCATTTTTTGAGGGGTCAAAGTGCAAAGTGCCCTTGAGAAGTATTAGTTTTACATCCAAAATCACAGAGACAAACCCAAAAGAGGAGCGGACTAGTCTCAGAGTCCTCGAGTCCCATCGGGTGTCCGACCTCACGCGGGACGTCCTGAACGTGTGAGCGCCCACACAATCTGCGCTTCAGTGTTTTCTCCACAGTATGTAGGTGACGAGCAGCAGGAGGCCCGCCGCCAGGCCCGCCATCACAAACTGGTGGATGGAGAGGACGTTCTCCAGCTCGTGGATCCTCTCCTCCATGGCGCTGGTGTGGAAGTAGTCGTAGATGCCGGCTCCAATGCTCCACAGCGCCCACACGGCGTCCAACACCAGCGGCATGGTGAGGCAGACAGGGGGGGGGTCAGACTCTGTCAAAGACAGAAACTATTCAGTTCATTTTCCTCACAAGCCACTGAGCGATGATGATGATGATGAAGATGATGATCTGAAGGGCTGTGACATTAGGCTAAATAAATCTAATTGGATCAATCGTTCACTGAAACAATCATGCTTATATGTGTCATTGTTGTTAATGCTTCGTTTACCTGCTTCTTATAGCAGTGGGCTGGAATATAGACCCCCCCCCTTTATCCCAAAACAGGCAAACATAACGTTGAAAACAAGTCAAACAAGAACTTTAATCACTCCAAGTCGTTTATTTGAATATCTGATCTGACTGAAGATTTGTCAGTTCATGTGTTGGGTTGTATTTATCATCATCATCATGATGGGCACGAGTAACACGGCTATCCGGAGACACAGTGACACACGTATGAACACGAGAGCAACATGCTAGCAGTTCGATAGATGCAGTCGTCCCCCGCTAGCATGCTAACGCGCTAGCTGACATGGCGGCTCGGCGCTTCTACTCACAGCAGCAGCTCCTTCATCCACGGGGAGGGTCGCGCAGTCGTCGCACCCTCCGATGAAGGAACATGCGGCCCTCGCGTCACCGTCGAACCTCAGTTGTAAACATGTTTCCGGGGGAACGTTGAAATCCTGTCCGCCGTCAGCCGCTTGCCTTACTTCCGGGGGAGCTCGCGACCGAGATCCACACCGGCAGCGCGTCACGGGGCCGAACGCGAAGACACGGATGTGGCTGCTCGGGCTACCCGTCTCCTGACGTCTGCCGATAAGCGGTCTTATGTGTATTGTGCTGATTTCCACATGAGTGAGAAGCTGCATCCGGCACGTTTTCTGCGATGAAAGTCAAACTATTGAATATTCTAACCAGGGCTTCGCAGTAAGAGTGAAAGGTTTTTAAACTATCAACGCGACCCACCTACACTGCTAGGCGCGGTGGCCAAGTGGTAAGGCGTCGGTCTCGTAAACCGAAGATCGCGGGTTCGAACCCCGTCCGTGCCTTCCGGCTGGGCCACATCCACAAACCTTTTTACTAGTTTTATGTAAGCTGTACGTGGAGTTATAGTATACTAATATGGGGGAGATAAAGAGTGTGTGTGTGTCCGTTCACAGCAAGCAGCAGAGATGTCTGCTTCACCCCCGATCAGCTTCCAGGCAAAACATGTTATCATTTAAGATCGAACATCTCTTCCATTAGTGAAATGCTTGCTGAACAGCCCACGTGGGACAACGCGTCTACTACCATGTTATTAGTTCCTTTAATGACATCCTGAAGTAGTAGCAGGTAGCAGCATCAATGAGGGCCACAGGACATGTGATGACCTTAATATGAAGCCCTGGTCTCTGAAGCTCACCAGCACGATGAAGATCCAAGATCAATGTAGCAGGAACATTTATCCTCAAGCATCAGATATAAAACATTTTGAGTGAGTAAATTGACTTCCAGTAAATTGTGGTAATACTTTTATTTAAATCAGCTTTTGAAAGCAGGAGTTAGTTTTACACTGTAGTACTAGTTCTTACTAGTAACTAACTGAAGTATCTGAGTACCCCCCCCCCTCTCAGTTCACATACAGAGGAATAAATACAGACATTCACTAATATGAGCCCCAAAATGCGTCTCTAAATTAAAAGGCAAATAATCCCCCAAATAATTTCCGGTTCTGGTGACATGCGCCTATTTATGTCACAGATTACATCATGTGACCTGCAGGAGTCGATGTTCTCGCCGGCTCAGCCTCCTGCAGCAGGAAGTTCACTTCATACAGTTGTTAATATTCAGCATTTCACTGACACAATCAGACATTGAACTCTTATTTGTAACATAATGCACGCTGCAGACCTAAGGAGGAACGACACACTGAAGACTTCCTGTCTGATCTGAAGCTTCCAAACCTTCTCATGATGAGTCTGAATGATCCTAGATCCTCCACAGATTATCATCTAAATACTGGTCATGATTGTCAAACGCACAGATAATTCAACGTAACAGCTGGAATATTTAAAAATAAACCTGAAGTTCACCTCTTCAGTCCGGATATAAAAACTCTCTGTAAAAGAGACATTCAATCCTTTAGGAGGCAGTAAGGTCAATTTTTACTTTAAGATCCACGTAAAAGGTGTCATATGTAACTACAATTACAAAAAACAACAAGACAAACATATAGAATTGTTTTCCTATATTTTAAAGACGGGCGCGTTACCGCTCACTGACGTCACATCCTCAGTATACTACAAGTAAACTGACTGTAGATCACATTTTGTGCTTCTTTAACTAAATATTTGCACCGGATGAAGAATTTTAATCATTAGACGTCAACAAGTCGAGCAAAGTGAAGCTGCTTCTTTCGGGATTTAAATCCCATGATGCATCGCTGCTTCACAACATCAACAAACCATTGATTCCAAACTGTAGATTTAATTTAATTTTTTAACGCATTCTTTCCAGATAGTGAAACTGTGTGCGTTTTAAAGCGCTCGTTCTGGGGGTTCAGGAGCTTGTCTTCGTGGCGTGCACTGTTGCGGTTTCCCGTTGCCACGGTAAGCGTGTGGCCTCACTTCCTGTTGCCTGCGTATGTGATGCCAGCGGAGTTTCACCGCTGCAGCTACAACCAAGTTCATTGTGTGATATTCTTTAGCATGAACCGCTAACTACACAACGACGCCGGTGTTTGTTAAAATGACCCTTTTTGTGTGTGGTCGCATAGACAGAAGGTAGCGACATTCACTTTAACTGATCTTGGTCCTTTGAGGAGCCTAAAACGACGTCAACAGCTGTACTTTGATTGACTCCGTATGCTGGTACTCCATTACTGTAGTAATACTATGGAGAAGAACCTCAGACGAGCACACGTACTCGTCTCTTACTGAGAACTCCTCCCCCAATTACCCAGAGTGCTTTGTGTTTTATGATGAACTGTCCCTTTAAGACATTTGATGAACAAGGTTAGAAAACAAAAAATTAGAAAAGAGGCGAGGAGGCGACGTTCGACTTTCACAGTAACGAGGTTGTAACTCACTTAAAATAAAATGAAAAAAAGAGCAGCAGGTTTAGCAGGTCGAGTCAAACTAAAAAAAATGTGACAGAGTTGGATGTTTTTCATCTACGAGGTCGATACCAAAATGACGAGCGAAGGAAAGATTTATTTTTAAAAAACACGGGAGCTGTAAACAAAAGCCGGAACTAAGACGAGGGTCAAAGTAAAAGTCCAACTGAAGAATAACAAGTAGAAAAGGAAAATACGTGTCTGAAGAGAGGATGGACGGGTCAAGACCATGAAGTCAAATCTACAAACAAAAGAGTAACGCTGTTTCAAATACGGGAATTATATTAGTTTTAACATTTGTCCATTAAGGAAGACAGAAAACAAAGAATATCCACATTTGTTTCCTTGTAAATTAACGGTTTTAAACTGTAAAGTTAAGATTTTTCGCAAAAATCTTTTTCACAACAAACGGCTCGACTTCTCCCCGAACCTGCCAGGGTTGCGCACAAAAATCCAGACCAGCGAATTAACGGATAAATACTGTGAAAAGCTGCGCGTGGAAAAGCTTCTTGGAGGAAAATCCGGACTCGACAAACAACGGAAGCGAAAAAAGCCGTTAAAACACCACAACTTTCCAGCCGGAGTGGACGAAGGAGCAGCCGAAGAAGAGGCAGTCCACCGTCTGCTCCACCAGCCAGTCGAACACCACCTCCCGGCTCCCGGAGCCGATGGTGACCCTCAGCTTGAAGTGCCCCCCCTCGCCGGGGTCGCCGTTGCCGACGGGGAAAAGGTTGACCACCTCCATGTCGAAGGTCACGGCGGAGCCCAGCGCCACGGCCGGCAGCTGGTTGGTCATCTCCTTCCCGTTGACAAACACGGCTCCTGGGGGGCGCACACACACACACACACACACACGCACGCACGCACGCACACACACACAGACGCGCACACGCACACGCACACAGACGCACACACACACACACGCACGCACGCACGCACACACACAGACAGACGCACACACACACGTTAACGGGGGGGGCATCGCTCCTCTGAGGAGTTCGGCTTAATACTAAATAAATATAAAGACACGTCTGTGTGTGTGTCTGTGTGTCTGTCTGTGTGTCTGTCTGTGTGTGCCTGTGTGTGTGTGTGCGTCTGTGTGTGTGTGCCTGTGTGTGTGTACGCCTGTGTGTGTCTGTGCGTCTGTGTGTGTGTGTGCGTCTGTGTGTGTGCTTGTGTGTGTGTGTGCGCCTGTGTGTGTCTGTGTGTGTGTGTGCGTGCGCCTGTGTGTGTGTGTGCCTGTGTGTGTCTGTGCGTCTGTGTGTGTGCTTGTGTGTGTCTGTGCGTCTGTGTGTGTCTGTGCGTCTGTGTGTGTCAGTGTGTGTGCGTCTGTGTGTGTGCCTGTGTGCGTCTGTGTGTGTGCCTGTGTGTGTGTGTGTGTGTGTGTGTGCCTGTGTGTGTGTGTGGCTGTGTGTGTGCCTGTGTGTGTCTGTGTGTCTGTGTGTGTCTGTGCGTGTGTGTGCGTCTGTGTGTGCGTGTGTGTGTGTGTGCCTGTGTGTGTGCATCTGTGTGTGCGTCTGTGTGTGTGTGTCTGTACCGTTGGTGGAGATGCAGACGGCCTCTTCTGTCTGAAAGTATCTCTTCGACCCTATCGTTACACGAACACCCTGCGACGGTCCCTCTAATCCATCTGACACGCTGCTGACAGCATGCACACACACACACACACACACACACACACACACACACACACACACACACGCACACAGACACACGCACACATTATCGACTATTATCATTATAATATCTATACACACTTCATTTATATTATAATTCTTATATTAACGGCAAAGCGTTTCACATGAACCAACATGAGGACGCGCTCGCCTCGGACCGGCGTGCAGTGAGACAGCGTTCTCACGTACTTGAAGGTCAGCGTCTGGCCACAGAAGTAGGTGGGTGCGTTGGAATAGAGGACGGGGCAGCGCGTGTGGGCGGAGTCACTGCGCAGGGCGATGTTTCTCCTGCTGCTCAGGATGTAGCCCTCTGACCCCGGACACCACTCTGAAGGGGACGGGAGGGAGACGGTGAGACACAGAGAGACGGCGGCATGTTTCCGAGGTAACTCCCCCTCCCACCCCCCGTACCGTGGGGGGCCAGGGTGGTGTAGCCGGTCTGCGGGACGCTCCAGGGGCTCCACTCGGTGCGGCCCTCCCCGCGGGCGCTGACCCTGAACAGGTAGTCGGCGTGCGGGTCCAAGTGGAGGACCAGGAACTCGCAGTCCCGACCGATGTAGGCGTCCTCGTACTGGCTCCGCCCCCCGCCGGAGCGCCGGTGCTGCAGCCGGTAGTCCGCCGCCGCAAAGTCCTCGTCCACCTGACGGCCAACGACACGAACCCCAATATGAACGGCGTTTAAAAATCACGCCACGTCGAGGCGCGCCTGGCGTGCGTTACGGCGCTCAGTCCGGACCTTGCACCAGCGGACCAGGACGCTGCCCGGCCTCTCCTGCAGCTCCTCGATCTGGACCGGCGGATGGGACGCCACGGAGCCCAGGCGGGACACCCGGTCCCTCAGGACACCCAGCAGAGAGTCGTCCAGCTGGGCGGAGACACACGGCACGTCCACCAGCGCCGGCACCTCCGGCAGGCTGAAGGAAGCAGAATAGAGTTCTACATGTGTGACACCAAAGACTAGAGGAGCACGAATCGCTGCTCGGGAACGACCATTTGTTCACATGCAGGAATAATGACGGCGTTTCCATTTCGTCCTCTTCAAAATAATCAAAGAGGGCGATCACAGTATCACATGGTTCTTATCGATCCACTGATGGTCCCACCTGTCCAGCTGGATGCGCACGGCCTTCTTGGTGAAACTGCCCAGTTTGTCCTCCTTCTCGCCGAGGCCGCAGCGCAGCGCAGCTTCCCCTGAGGGGACGGAGACCATATCTAATCATTCAGCACTACGATGATGTCATCGAGGTCAGAAAACAACCAGTTAGTCTTCTTTCTCATCGTTGATTATTTACCCCTCAGCCCCCAGAGAAGAAAATGTCTTTTCGTTACACCCAGTGTGTCCAGCAGGGCGGCGCCCTCTCACCTTCCCTCAGCAGCTCGTCGGCCTGCCCCACGCCGTGCTCGATGAGGCTCTGGCACTCGTCCAGCGGCTTCACGCTGTCGGCCTCGATGGCGTCCACCTCCGCCAGCAGGGCGGTCAGCCGCTCCGACAGAAGACGGGTCGCCGCCGCCTGCAGCTCCGCAAAGTGGCGCCGCAGGGCCTCGCGGGCCTGACCCGAGCTGCCGCGGACCTGCAGGCAACGGGGGGGGGGCCAGGTTTGTGGATTTGCTTTTACATTTACGACACTTCAACATCTTCATAATCAGCAGAACCGGAGCGTCCGGGACGGGGACAGATGTGGACACGGCACTGCCTTTGGGCCGGAGAACATCTGTCAGAATGGGAAGTGCTCATCGTTTATTGCCGGGAAACAATAAACTCATTTCCAGAAGGTGGATTTAATGTGACGTGAAAAGCGTCACGTGGATGAAGGATTCGTGGCTGCGGCCTCGCTAGAACCATTAGGTACTACTACTACTACTACTACTACAAGTACTGCTACCATCAATGCTACTTCTACTGCTTCCATCATACACCAAATACAACGAGTAGCATGACAGGAAGCTCAGATTGTCATCAGTGGCAAAGGTCACGTGTCAGTTCCTCTTCTGCAGAAAAACCCTCCACACACACACACACACACACACACACACACACACACACACACACACAGTAAAGAGTAAAGGAGATTGTTTTCCAAACAATCGTAATCTATTTTTCCACCAAACCCCAAAATATTGATGATTGGCTGTCTGTGTCGCGCTGAAAGCCGCCAGGAAGTGATGCCTGGTCTCCGGTGGAAAAGTCCAAACACACACATTCAACACACACAAGTCAGTGTGTACTGTGGCACAAACCCTGTCTGTGTGTGTGTGTGTGTGTGTGTTTCCATCCCTTCTTTATCAGCGCAGCAGTTGTCAATCAACCTTCCGGTTTCCTGCTATCTTTCTATCGCTGCCCCTGTACTCTCATTGTGTGTGTGTGTGTGTGTGTGTGTGTGTGTGTGTGTGTGTGTGTGTGTGCTGCTGAGGGACTGAGGGGTTGTGGGAAAGAAACATGTGTGATGGAGCAGCTGTTATTGGGCGGAGGGAGTCCCTGCTGTGTGTCTGTGTGTGTGCGCATCGCCAAAGTTCTATTTATAGAAATTTGTCCTGAATAAACGTGGGACATTATTGTCACTTCAAACTCAATGACGGAGAGATTTGTGTTTAAAATAACAATTAAACAACAGTGTCTGAAATACACTGAAATAAACTTTTTATTAAATCTCCTGACAGTCCTAATATATCTATATACATACCACCGTGTAGTTGGGCGTATCGGGGTAGTCAGGGGTATCTGGGGTATCGGGGGTAGTTGAGGATATCGGAGGTAGTTGAGGATATCGGGGTAGCCAGGGGTATCTGGGGTATCTGGGTAGTCGAGGGTATCTGGGTAGTCGAGGGTAGTCATGGGTATCGGGGTAGTCAGGGGTAGTGGGGATATCGGGGGTAGTTGGGGATATCGAGGGTAGTTGGGGATATCGGGCTAGTCGGGGGTAGTTGAGGATATCGGGCTAGTCGGGGGTAGTTGAGGATATCGGGCTAGTCGGGGGTAGCTGAGGATATCGGGCTAGTCGGGGGTAGTTGAGGATATCGGGCTAGTCGGGGGTAGTTGAGGATATCGGGCTAGTCGGGGGTAGCTGAGGATATCGGGCTAGTCGGGGGTAGCTGAGGATATCGGGCTAGTCGGGGGTAGTCGAGGGTATCTGGGGTATCGGGGTACCTGCTTGCGCGCCTGGTTGAGGCCATTCAGGCGCTGCTGGAGTTCGCTGCGGTAGTTCTGCGCCGCCTCGATGCTTTCTTTGGCCTCCTGCAGCAGCACGTCGACCTCGGCAGACATCCTCCGGCCTCCTGCGACCGACCGGGAGAAGCGCGGTTACATCGACTTAGAACCCGAAGGAACGACATGTAGGGATTATGATGTGACACAACGCGGCTCCTCCCTGGGCAACACCAAACCAAAGGAACTTTACTATTATTATGTTGCACCTTTTTTCTTCATTAGTTTAATAAATATTATCATTTATTTCAATCATCTCTTGTTTTACTGTTGTTGGTAGTAAATAATATGTTGGAAAAAAGGAGAAACTAGTAGAACTCTGCACAGACAAAGGAAGTGTGGCAACGAGGACGCCGCTTCCTGCCGCTGTCACGCTGCCACCGGCGCCGTGAGCGCCTCCAGCACGACGTGAAACAGCGGCGCCCCGTAGGAACACGCCGGGTCCCTGCATTGAGCTGCTTCCTGTGACCTCGGCTATCAAAGGTCAGCGGAGCAGCGCTGCTTTGGCTGCGCGTCGATGTGAAGGCCGCTTGTGATAGACGGAACAAAGTAACATCAACACGACGGGGTTGCTGCTAAACGTCTGCAGCTCGACCCACTAAAAGCGTTCTCCTACGGGCCGAGAATCAATGCGGATTTATTATCAGTTTCACCCAAAAAGCACTTCTGGATTTTAAGGTTGAAGTCAGTTTGAGTTCAGGACTGAAAGTGAGGAGCCACGAGCCGCTTCCTTCATGGCATCGAAAGAGGAAGTCAGGCCCCAGACGGCATCATCGCGTGACTTAGCTTCATCGTAGCTTCATCGTAGCTTCATCGTAGCATCGCAACATGAAATCCACAATGAGCTCATTCAAAACGCGGCACCATGAAAGCACAAATCAATAAGTGTCTACCAGAAAAGTCCGTGTGGACAAGTCAAAGGTTTACTGTTGTTGTATTCTAAAGAGACACAACCATGTGATCGATTATTAGCGGAGCCTTAAGGTTTATTCTTAGCAGCATAAAATAGATAATTAAAATACAAGTTACATTTGCGCCGTTTTTTCTGAAGCACCAGCATCAGAGGTTTTATTCGTCTGAAAAAGTTAAACCATTATGAAGAGAAAGTAAACACTGTTCCATCTCTGACGTACGTTATTCATGCAGAAGACATTTCTTTTGTTAAATAGTTTTTTGACTAACACACCAGTCAACTGTTCTCCTGCATTAACGCCCACGTGGATGCAAACTCATGGCTGTGGACATGATGCAGAATCATGCAGGCATCTACTCGGGGCGGAAGGATTCTCACAGATATTTGGGTCATCGTTGACAAAACGCACAAAACACCCACATTCTCTCTTTAAGGCCTCTCTCTCTTGAATTCCTTTCAAAACCTCACACTGGTTCACCCGATAGCTTAGGAAAGTTCTCATCTCTGAATGTACATAAATATCTATTCTCTGATGGGGTTTGTCTGGAAACAAACGCGTATTCTTCGTGTGTTTTTATGCAAATGTGCAGGCAGACAGTTTGCAGTATGCAGGTCAACCTGCAGGCCGCGATGCGCGGCATCCACAGCTGTGTCCCCTGGAAGAACCTCAAGAGCCTCTGCATATATTACATCTAGATTTGGGTCACGATCCAACAAAAACTGGCCCGAATTAAAAAGTTTTAGATCTTTCTGAAACATATTTTTAAGCATACAAAGTTTTGCTTTTTTTAAATCTATCGATGTTCTGAAATCACCTGAATGCTTCACAGCCGTTTTGACCCGTTTTTTAACGTCGCATATTTCATATTTAAACACGAGGACTAACTAGAGACGAACAGACAGAGTTATGAAAGGCACGCAGAGACACAGCCGGGGACAGCAGGACGTGTCTCAACGCGCTCAGAACAACTTCCGTATCTCTCAGGTTATTTTTATCATGTGCAACGGTCTTCTTGAGCGCATTTGCATAATTCCCGCCGCGTGTGTTAATCGATATCGGCGTGGGAATGTGGATCTGATCATTGACGACATCGACCGGTGCGGCGCGCGGGGAGATCTTCCCCCGAACTCCGTTAAGATATCGGCCGTTTTACGCGCGCGCGGTCGTCAGAGGGCCCGCGTGCCTCTCATCGACGTATTTAAGAGTTTGTCATGAACTAATCGGGTCTGTCGATCGGTTCGGCGCGGACACTTTGCTGAGAAACCTCTCACAGAGGCGGAAGGAGACCGGGAGACACTGACGCTAGCTTGTGTGGCCGAAACACAATGACGCTCGCGTGAGCGGACGCGACGCGCTGCGGGAGAGAACATCGACGAAAAGGGGTTTTGGTTACAAAGTAGAACTTGTTACGCGTCAAACGTACCTGCTTTTACAGCTTTCTGGGGGGCATTTAATCCCCAAAACTCGTGAATCAGCTCGAAGTCGCTACTGGACAGCGCCGAAGTTTCGCTCAAGTCCAAACTTCCGAGGTTTTCGGGAAAGCAGCCAATCACAGATGAGATGCTTTCGATCGACAGGGACGCCGGCCAATCGGATCGAGAGGATTGGACGACTCTCCCCTTCCTCGGCAACAAGATGAATAAGGGTGGAACTGATGAAACGAGTTGATGTGTGCACAAATATCCTACATGTTAGTTATTGTGTGTTTATTTGATTCTACACTATGTATATGTTGTATATTATATGTTATATGTGTCACTATCACATACACGCATTTAACTTCATCGCGTTAATCACGTTTTTAAGTATTTCCTCATGAACAACTCGATTTATTTATATATCTTAAGATCTTACAAAAAAAATTGGCTTATTTTAATAAAACACTTATTATTAGACCTTATGCCCAAAATGTGGTAACAAAGATGTATTGTATATTCATTATGTCAGGTGTCTCGTGCACATAAACACAAAGCGTTACGTGCAGGTGACAGGTAAGCTGATTGGCCCTGTGTGGAGGGACCCCGTCCTCTACTGGTTTTAATGGGGGCTGCAAGTGCCAATAAAAATCCACGTTTGATGGATCAGAGAGAGCATCTATTTTGTGCAGTTTATTCACGTGTTACTGTTAAATGAGCAACATGTATTCACATAACATGGGCTGTAGTGCCCCTTTAGTTACCACCAGTTTATATCACTTAACTTCGGACAATAACACTACTTTCTATACGTCCAAAATAAGTTTATTGATTGAAACGACAAAGGGAGACAGAGAGCGGGGTTTGCAGCTGTGCGCCGTCCCGCGGTGACGTAGTCGGGCCCGGGACAATCCTTGGATTAGCGCGTGACCCGCAGGATTTGTTGGGAGCTGCACTCCGAGCAGATAGCAGACGGAATTATCCAGATTTCATATTCACGTCGCACAGTGCGTTTCATTCAGCGCAGGCGGATCGGAGCCATTTTACACACGAAGCTCCAGGACGCAGCGGAGAAGCCGCTCCGACGGCTCCAACGTCTCCAACGTGACCACAGCGGTGCCATGGAACGCTTTTACGCACGAGCCGATGGGAGCGTTTAAGAAACTTTATCTATTTGCGATCTGATCATTTGTGATATTCGTGCTGCCGGCTAATCACCCCCCCCCCCCCCCTCCTTTTACTACACCGCGCGCAGGTGGATTACGTCAGACTGACATGCAGGCCGAGTCCGATCCTTTTAGCCGCTGTTCTTGCGTCGTTTCATCCGTTTGAGGGAGCGGTGCTGCATCACTTAGGGAGACAGCCGGCCCCCCCCACCCCCGACCCCTTTCCCATCCACCCCGGGCAGCTTTCTAAAATAGAGGACAGCGGTCCTGGAAGAAGCCGCCAAAACGGTTCCCCTGGCTCGCCAACGTCAACTTTGTACGGGTGCTTATTTCGCCGGCGGCGACCTGGTCCATCAGCTCATCGCGCAGGAGGAGCGCATGGACTGGAAGCACACCCGCGATGTGGCCATTGTAGCCACCAGTTTCCATGGAAACTTCAACTACTTCTGGCTGCGCGCCCTGGAGAGGCGCTTTCCCGGGAAGTCCGCGGCGATGGTGTTCCGCAAACTCCTGTTGGACCAAAGCTTCGCGTCGCCTTTGGCCACGAGTGTCTTCTACACAGGTAAACATCTCTTAGTGCATTACGCGAAGACAGCAGGGCAGACACACACTGGTTCTCACGTTCGATTCTAAATCAAACCCCATGTGGGTCAAGGTGAGGAGTCATAACACGCGTTTTAATTGTGCGTAATGGCGCACAACGCATCGCCAAACTCTGCGTAAAACGTGTCCTCTTGCCCTGCAGGAGTGAGCTTCTTGGAGGGAAAGGAGGACATTTTTGAAGACTGGAGGGAGAAGTTTTTCAACACGTGGAAGGTGAGTGAGGCCTAGGCAGCATTGAGTGAAGTCACAGGGAGTCACCTTGCCCTCCACACGCACACACGGCGCGACCTCACCACCAGATTAAACTAGATTATGGCGCACGATGCGTCTGCGCAGTGGCAAGACGCCCGGCAGCAAATCGGATATTTCAATCGCGAGCAGCCAGCGATGAAACAGAGTTCCGCCAGATGTGAATCATCACGCTGATGTAATGGAGAACAATAATAAGTCATCATGTACTTCATCTAATTTTACCTGACGTGTAGAAAAGCTCCAGCTTCAGTAATCTTAAATACTTCAAACAGCCAAAGAGACACACAAAACCACAAAAAGACACAAAACAGTTAACGAACCACACAAAATGACATCAAACGCACCAAAAAACGTTTATCCCCTGTAGGCTCTTATGTAATGTAACCAGCAGAATAATCACAGTTCACCTTCTAAAAAGGTCGTCTAACGTTCACAGCCGGAATCACATGCTGTCAATCACCTAAAATTCATAAAATGGGGGAAGCTTGAAGAGTGTTGCTTCTTTATTTCAAGGGGATTATACACGATTAGCATGTTTTGATTAATAAGAAGCTCAAAGCATCCAAAGCCAGTTTCTCAGTTTCCTCACAGTTTATTATGGAGATAATTATATGAACTTTGATCTCTTTTAATAATTACTTCAAGGCAGAGATTTTTATGTGATTGTGTGATGTCAGTCGTGATGATCTTCTCTTCTCTTCCAGACGGGACTCATGTACTGGCCTTTCATGCAGGTAAACATGACAAAAGGTTTCTGTTTTGTGCCCATTAATGTCTGACTTTTGTTAATAGATTTAAAGGCGATTTAAAAGGCCTTTAGGGGAGAGATGACAGCAACAACTCTTCTTCAATGCAGCATGTTCATTTAGTAAATCATCAGTGAAACAGACCGTAACGCAGAGGATGATTTAGGGCGGGGCTAACTGATTGACAGGTCTCTACCTCCAGATGGACACAACCAAATTGGCACTAACACAACAAATCTGGGAGTCGATACTTACGAAAGGAGGTTTGATTGTATATGTCCGTTTTTCTGCCCCCCCTCACAGTTTTTGAACTTTGTCCTGATGCCGTTGTACATGCGGACGGCCTTCATGGGCTGCTGCGCCTTCCTCTGGGCCTCCTTCCTCTGCTTCTCCCGGCAGAGCGGCGACGGCACCGCCGCCGTGGCAGTGGCCTTCGTCATGGACCCCCGCAAGACCCTGCTGGAGATACGTGAGGCCCGGCTGGCCAGGAAGAAGGATCAGAACCAGAGGAAAAACTAGAGGGGAGGAGGAGGAGGAAGAAGAGGAGGAGGATGTCTGTCAGTCCTTTTTCAGAGGGGTTACTGGTTGGAAAAAGAAAAAAAACTTTCTTTTTAATAACGTTTAATTCATGTGCTGAATATTTATAATTATATTCAAACCTTTTTCTGCCTGAAGACTAAATACCATTTACCCACAAATACACTTTGGATAAAGTTGGCCAAGGCCAACTTTTGGATCTGCAGTGTGTTTCAGCTGCATTCTCTGCAGTGACCAGCAGGGGGCGACTCCTCTGCTCCCATAGACGTCTATGAGGAAATGACTCTACTTCTCTGTAGTGACCAGCAGGGGGCGACTCCTCTGCTCCCATAGACGTCTATGAGGAAATGACTCTACTTCTCTGTAGTGACCAGCAGGGGGCGACTCCTCTGCTCCCATAGACGTCTATGAGGAAATGACTCTACTTCTCTGTAGTGACCAGCAGGGGGCGACTCCTCTGCTCCCATAGACGTCTATGAGGAAATGACTCTACTTCTCTGTAGTGACCAGCAGGGGGCGACTCCTCTGCTCCCATAGACGTCTATGAGGAAATGACTCTACTTCTCTGTAGTGACCAGCAGGGGGCGACTCCTCTGCTCCCATAGACGTCTATGAGGAAATGACTCTACTTCTCTGTAGTGACCAGCAGGGGGCGACTCCTCTGCTCCCATAGACGTCTATGAGGAAATGACTCTACTTCTCTCTTGATTTATTCCCTCAGTAAACATTGTAAACATGAGTTTATGTCTCAGTCTCTAGTTTCAAGTCTTCTTCAACACAGCGTGATGTTCATTTAGTGAATTATGGTCCATTTAGAGTCAAACAGACCTTAAAGCAGGAGATGCTTTAGGGCGGGGCTACATGCTGATTGACAGGTGTCCCCCAGAGTCCTTTTCAGTCAATATATGTTCACGTCCTGCTCATCAGATGCAAAAAAGCCAAAATGACGAGAGAAACCCGTCAAACTCACCACTTTAAACCGTAGGCTCTATTTGTTAAATAGGGCCTACGGGCAAAATGAAACTATAATTAAAGAATGTATCAGGGGCAAAAGAACGTTATTTTTAGAGCTTTGCAGTGTTAGATTGAACAAACCCTTCCACTCATAAATAATAATTCATCCTCCGGGAAGCATGAAGCTGCTGGTCACATGGCGAGACGGATTGGGATATTTCTTGGTACAAAAGCTCAATAATAAAAAGCACAAAAAAACATTCCTTCCTGTTGGGATCACAAATGTTTGCCGTAAGTTTGGAGACACTAGAAAGTGTCCATCTACAGGAAGTGAGATCTGGCAACAGCACGAGCTGTTTACAGTTGATACCAACCCGACTTCGGTTCTGCTTCACACTGGCTGTGCCTTCTCTTGCTTGCTGTGATTGGTTATGAGCAACAATCAATCATCAATACTATGCCATATGTAAATATATAAAGGTATATTTATGTATACTCTTTTAAATGTGAGTGCTTTGTGTGATGCACGGATGTATCTTTCAGGAGTCTAAAGACTCGGGGGGCTCTTGAGGGTTCATCCACTGGGGAGCGAGAATGAGCCGACGACGCTGCAACGCGTCCGATGAAGTTTCAGGAAAAATATTGAGAAATGTTTAGAAGTTTTTATTGTGTGTGTTTGTGTGTGTGTGTGTTGATGAAGGATCAGCAGCGAGGCCCATGAACGTGTTTTAATGGAGCTTTTCAGGTCGGGAGGCTGCTGTGCTGATGTTTTCGTTGGGTTTTGTCGATGTGGACGAAAGGCTTGTCGTGTTTTATTGTGTAATATGTTATTACATTCATCGGTCCATCCTACCTGCGTTGTGTTGTCTCCTAGTCCTCTGAATCCTGTCCTCTTTGAAACATCTCGTAAGTTGTCATCCCCAAACCGTATCATGTAACACGACACTCGAACCAGACCCGTTACTATGAAGTGCTTTTGTTATTATACCAATATCATGCTTGTCATAGATTAAAATGACCCTGAGAGTTGTTGTCGGGGTTACGACATACATCCCATCAGCCCTTTGTGGGTAGGAAATCTGCATGTTTGAAACAAAAATTAAATGTTGTTGAGACCTTGTGTGAATGTGATGCTTCAATGATTTGTTTACAGAAAAGTGTCAGAAGCTAAACTATTTTGTTGGTAAACAGAGCCCTGAGCTTCCTGAACGCATGCAGCGAGGCCCGAGGGGACTGGTGGGTGTTTGTGTGTGAATAAGGGTGCGTGGGGATTAACCAGGATCAGATAGGCCCGGTTAATCCCTCCTGAAAAGGACGGGTTGACCCGGTGTGACCTCTGACCTCACCGACGGGAGGTGAGGATCCCCCAACCAGAATGCGGTCAGGTGGTCGGACGCCAGTTGCATCCCTCACTCAGAAGCCGTGCACCACAAAGGAAGCCCTGCGCTGAAGACACACACCCCTCGTGTCTGATAACTTAATACAAAATGTTGTGAAAGAGAAATAAACGGCTGCAGATGAGTACATTGTAATGCTGTCTATTTTCTGTTAATCATTGGATGTAAATAAAATTGATGTTTTGTTGAAGTTTTGTTGTGTTGCATTCAAGTACTGTAGGAAGGAGGGAGTTATTCAAATGCATGAGTAAATATATAATTTACAGTTGACGTTTTTATCTCATTATTATAATTGTATTATTATTAATAATAATTTATTTCGTTTGAATATTTTGTGTAGTTCGTTTTCAAATATATTCATGGATATCATAGAATACATATAAATATGAATATTTATAGCTTTGTTTTGTGTGGTGACAGATTTTCGTGAGCCACTCTTGTCCCTTACTCGCTAACACAGAGATTCCAGGCCTTTCGTTTCTTCGGGTAAAGTTCCCGTTTTTACACTTTATGAAACACAACCGTATATGCATTTGCTCTCTGATCTCACTGTGCGTCTTGACTAGCGGTAAAAACCGTGCGATCTCCGCGTCACCCACGCATCATTGCCCCGGTCAAGTGCACCTGTGGCCCCGTATGTAGACTCCCTGTCACACTGACACCCGCCGGGGCCAAGCTGAGCCTGGCTGCAAACACCACGCGGGACGCAAACATCACGAACGGCTCCGACAATATCAATTTAACATTGTGTGCCATTAACTCATCACAACGTCTAGACTGTGAAGACACGCCCCTCCCTCACAGACGCAGCTCCTCTGATTGGACGTCGATGCCGAGCCCACCCACTACTGTTTGATTGACGCGGGCGTTGGACTAATAGCAACGGCCAAACGGGTCCGTCTCCTGACTTGTGATTGGTCGGTCGGTCCGGACAAAATGAATGGCAGCTTGCATTGTTCGACGTCCCTTCAAGACGGTGGACACCGCGGCTCCCAACTCGCAAAGTCCGTTATAGTTTTATTTTTACGCTTTCGCCGCTGTTTGACCTCCGCAACGCGCTGTCGGACTTCACACCAGCACACGAAGGGGATTTCATAATTTAATCCGCCGTTTTTTAACGTTGCGTCGGGCGAAACTAACTGTTGATCGTAAGTTCTGACGTTAGCTGTGTTACGTTTGTCCGCTGGGCTTTAAACGGTTAACGCTAAACTCCGTTAGCTGAAGCAGCTAACTAGAAGCATGTTTCACGCTGTGGAGTTGACACTTTATTGTTGGGAGCGTATCTCTGGTGCTTTTGATAGCAGGTGTTGGTTCTGATGAGCCGTTATGTCCTGGGTGACGTTTCCTCTCGGTTCAGTTTCCTGTGACCAGACTCCGTTCACATCATGTCTCATTTAAATCAGGAGGGGTTCGAGTCATCCATTTTTATTCAGTTCGACAAACATTACATAGGTCTTTCGAATTGGTAGAATCTAGTGTTCAATTCGGCTGACATATATCAAGAAAACGTTCTAATGTATCTGCTGCATTTCCCCGACGTGACGCGTCTTCTCGCTGAACCGGGGACGCCGTCAATGGCGGTGAGGACCACAATGAGGGAGACACTTTATCTGAAATATTGTCTCTTATGCCGAATTAACGAGAAGATGTTGAGGAATACTTTCAAGTCACCTCGTATGATAAATGACTATTTTCCTTTTAACTCGTGGCTACTTTAGAAAAATACGCCCAAGTTTCTCGAGGGAGTTCTGTACGGATTTGACAGAACTTTTCTTCTCGCCCTGTTTTGACTTCCAGAGCAGCGTTGGTGTGCGAGAGGACACGACATGGGGGATCAGAGGCCTCCAGAGTTCGGGTCCCTGCAGGAAGAGCTGGATTACTGGAAGGACCTGGCTGCCAGACAACAACAGAGGTGCCCCCCAGCCCCCCCAGCCCCCCTGTCCCATCCATCCCTGCTGCCCCTCTCCTCATCACAAGCACACGAGACGCAGCTTTCAGCTTTTCCTGGACACTCTCAGTAGTTTTGCACTTCATAGCTGATCTTATGGATGATAATTGATTGTGTGGGAAATACAACAAAAGTATATTCTTTCAGCACTTCTGGGGCTCCGTAATGAACTCAGAGAAAATAATCCAAACCTTTGGCACAGTCTGGTTTATAGAGTTTGGATACTCCTGCAGGAAAAGCAAGCATGAACCTCAAGGCGTTTTCCTGTTAAACGCTTTTCTGTGTGTCTCGACTTTTGTGTTTGATCCATGAACGTCAGATCGGCCAGCGGTTGGTGGGAAGATGGTCAAATTGGATAACAGATGAAATGATTCCCTTCGCTAACGTAACAACCCTGTTGTGGGTGTTGCAGGGCGGAGGAGGCCCAGGAGGAGCTGCAGGAGTTCCAGCTTATGAGTCGGGACTACGAGCTGGAGCTGGAGGCGCAGTTAAAACACTGTGAGGCGCAAAACTGCGAGCTATTGTCGGCCAACAGCCGCCTCCGCATGGACCTGGAAAACTACAAGGTACACGTGACATCATCAGTGACGGCAGCGAGGAGGAGAAGACGTACACGCCGCCGTGGTGACGTCACTTGTTGGTTTGTGGACTGGTGCTGCGAAGCATCGTGGTTGATTTGTTGTCGCCATTTTGGCAATTGGTGAACAGGAAGTTACCTTATTAGGACTGAGGAGGAAGTAGAGCTGCCGTATACATCTCTGGTAGTGACCTGTCAATCAGCGTGTAGCCCCGCCCTAAAGCGTCCCCTGCTATATGGTCTGTTTGACTCTAAATGGCCCATAATCCACTAAATGAACATCACGTTGTATTGAAGAAGACTTCAAACTAGAGACTGAGACCATAAACTCATGTTTACAATGTTTACTGAGGGAATAAATCAAGAGAGAAGTAGAGTCATTTCCTCATAGACGTCTATGGGAGCAGAGGAGTCGCCCCCTGCTGGTCACTACAGAGAAGTAGAGTCATTTCCTCATAGACGTCTATGGGAGCAGAGGAGTCGCCCCCTGCTGGTCACTACAGAGAAGTAGAGTCATTTCCTCATAGACGTCTATGGGAGCAGAGGAGTCGCCCCCTGCTGGTCACTACAGAGAAGTAGAGTCATTTCCTCATAGACGTCTATGGGAGCAGAGGAGTCGCCCCCTGCTGGTCACTACAGAGAAGTAGAGTCATTTCCTCATAGACGTCTATGGGAGCAGAGGAGTCGCCCCCTGCTGGTCACTACAGAGAAGTAGAGTCATTTCCTCATAGACGTCTATGGGAGCAGAGGAGTCGCCCCCTGCTGGTCACTACAGAGAAGTAGAGTCATTTCCTCATAGACGTCTATGGGAGCAGAGGAGTCGCCCCCTGCTGGTCACTACAGAGGATGCCGATAAAATATGTTGTTTTCCACCTGGTTTGTCGTAAACGTTTTTACAACATAAAACTTCTGTCAAAGGCGTCCGTGTTCTTCTGATAACGTTCAACCGGCTGATCGCCCGTTAAGCTGGATTTGACTGCAGATTTCCCTATTCGTGAAACACACACACACATATACACACACACACACACACACACACACAGAGGATTGATTCAGGGCTGCAGAAGGCAGCTGATGTCTCCGTCCTGCTGCTGGTCTCGAGGAGACGTCGGCTCTTCCGTAAAACAATCGTGTCGCAGTTCATTCGTCCCCTTTTGTCACATTTTTAACATTTTTTTTTTTAAGCTTTCTGCTGTCATCACAAGGGGGGGCGGCGTATCAATCGTAAAAACGCCTAGCTAACAAAAGATACTTGTAGTTACGTATTTCGGCCTGAAAGCTTGTTTAGTAACTTTATCAAAGAAGGGAAAGACAGGTTAGTAAATTCTTAATACTTAATAAGCAACAAATGTTGAAGTCTTCATACACGTTACAAAAGATTCTTCCACAGCAGTTTTGATATTTAGATAGATTTAGATTTGATAATAGAAACCGCTGACCGAATGTTTGAACAGAAGCTAGAGGCTTTAGGCGTTGGGCGAAGGCCCTGTGAAGCCACATCCAGCTGTGAGGCTCACATCTCTATTTGCATGTCGGATAAACAATGTCCTCCTGTTTTGTCTGCACCAAAGGAATGTTTTTACACCAATAAATGTGGGAATCAGTTTCCTTTTATCCGTTAACAGAATGTTTTATATTCTGTTTTCACATAACAGCCTCAAACTGATTCCAACGTTAAATAAACCTGTAAAATCCTTTTTAATCACAATGTTCCCCTCGTTTGTCGTCCAGGAGAAGTACGAGTCGCAGCACTCGGAGGCCCACCGGCAGATCTCCAGCCTGGAGGGAGACCTGGCCGAGACCACCGCCGCCAGAGACCACCTCCACAAGTACATCCGGGAGCTGGAGCAGGCCAACGACGACCTGGAGCGGACAAAGAGGTCAGAGGTCACTCCAAGGGGGAAGGACGGCATGTGCAAACAAGCCTGTAGCTTTTGATTAGCGTGTGAGGTCACCGGAGAATAACGATGGTGGTGTTTTCATTAGCTTAGAGGGAGGCGTTGATCCGCACACGGAGAGACCTGTCAATCAGCCCTACAGCGTGAACATGCTGCATTGTCCGGTTGCGATCGCCCCCCCCCCTCCACCAGGAAGTGTCACCAAACCCTGCCTACTGTCCCTACTGTCTCAGGGCGACCATCATGTCTCTGGAGGACTTTGAGCAGAGGATGAACCAGGTCATCGAGAGGAACGCCTTCCTAGAGAGCGAGCTGGACGAGAAGGAGAACCTGCTGGAGTCGGTCCAGAGGCTGAAGGACGAGGCCAGAGGTGCATTTACAGTTCCGTGAGCCGATGGTATGTAGCGATGTTTAGCTCAGTGAGATGATGCGTGTGCGTGTGTCAGACCTGAGGCAGGAGCTGGCGGTGCAGCAGAAGCCGGTTCAAGACAGGAAGTCGTCCTTAGGCAGCTCCATCACAGACGCCCCCCCCACCTCCACCTCCCCTCCCGCAGCAGGTCTCCCGACCCCCCCCCCTCACCCCGCCAGACAAACTGACGGAGGACAGACACTCGCCTCCGTCCTCTCACCACGCCGCCGCGCCTCCACTCAGACCTCCACCCTCAGCAGAGTCCTTTGACTCAGTCAGCAGAGGTGAGTTCTATTCGTCTTTTATTCATCTTTTATTTATTTTCTGCTTCCATTTATCTGTTCGTGGGGGTTTTCACAGTGGGGGGGGATCCTCTCCCCCCCTCGGCCAGGATCTCCGCCCTGAACATCGTCGGGGAGCTGCTGAGAAAAGTGGGGGTGAGAACCACGCTGGTGACCTTTGACCCAGTACTTGTTTGAAGAGGCGGTGCGTCACATCTGGACCATCTGAATGTTGTTGTCTCTTTAGAACCTGGAGTCCAAGCTGGCGTCGTGTCGCGACTTCATCCAGGAGCAGACGGCGGGCCGCAGGGCGGGGGCGGCGCCGGGCCACGGCGGTGGCTCGGAGACCCGGCCCCCCAACGGGCTCTACGGCGCAGGGTGAGAGGGGGAAGGTCCACAGCTGGAGCGCTCCGATCGTCTACACTGTTAGACCACAATTGTCTTTCTGACGGTCCTTGAACGCAGCGCGCTTATAAGTTCCACATTGTTCCAAATGATTCTGCACGTCTCATTCAAATCTCTCTACAAATAATTCAACATAATAATACGATATGAATGATAAATTGAAGCTTTTAACCATCTGATCATCATCATCTTTCCGACGGTCCTCGTACATCAGAACTGTGATAACTGACGTTTAAAATCTCGCCACAACTAAACTTGTCTTAAGAAGATTCTTCTAACACCAATAGAATCGTCCGTTTCTTTGGAAACACTTGTTGACCCAAGTGTTGGAAATAAAGATTCTATTGTTTGCCAAATGCTTGTAAAACTTGCCGTAAAATAATTCAACTACTTACTGTCTTATTCTGCACTGAAACCACATTTGACTTCTCTGATCTTTCTGTTTCTATAGCGACACAGAACACTTTACAGATTGAGACCCGGAGGGGGGGGTGACAGGGTTCTGAGGGTATCAGTGGATGTACTCGGTTACTTCCACCACTACTACGCATCCAGATGTTGTCTAGTCAGTGTCTGACATGTGACGCGTGTCTTTGACAGGCTGGTGAAGAGGTTGGACTTCGGCGCGCCCCCCAAGCTGCTGCTGTGAGCCCCCCCCCCCCCCCTCCCCTTGTGGATTGGCAGAGCGAGGACTGTGGAATTTACTGCTTTCTCTTCAAATCTTCTTTTTGTGTTTGGACTGAAGATGAAGCAGATTTTAGAGACAGCAGAATGACGGTTTGTAATGAAAAGACACCGATGGCTGCAGGTAGAGATTCATGGTGAGCGTTTTACTCGGATGCATGAAGGTGTTTCCTTCACTTGTCTTTGCCACATAGACGCACACTGCGGTGAGATTCGTCCTGGTTTTAACGTTTCTTCTGCAGTCGGCGTCGTGGTGACGTAATCCGCCTGAAGATCTTTGATCCAAAAACCCAGATTAATAACTGGTGCAATTGTGTTTTACGACAGCATTCTCTGTTGTGACCACCAGGGGGCAGTTCTTCCTTTTTGGAGATCTGAACCTTTTAAATTTTCTTAATGAGATTCGGAGCTTTCAGTCCGTCTGATGTTGTGTGATGAAACGACCTCTGACCTCTGACCGAACTCTACTTCCGTCTCGGGGAGTGAAAAGCAGACGTGTGAGTACTTCAGTGAAGGCTACTTGTTTTATGTTAAAAAGCAATAAAGGGTGTGTTATGTTTGACTTGAGTTGTTGTTTAGTGGCAAAGGTTCTTTAAAGCAGAATTCTTCTGCTCTTTGTTCACATTCAGGCTGAAGAAAGCAATGAAACCTGAAAGATAAAACATCAAAGTCTGGATTTCTTCTAGAAGAAGTGAGGCGACTCCGGTTTAAGGGTTTAATAGCAGTTTAATATCAGAAAGTCACAGCAGCCATTGTTAAATATTAAATATCACGCCGAATAAACTGATTTCTTCTAGCAAATATAATTTCACGTTCAGTTTCCAAATAGAATATGGGAGAGAATATTTGAGAACCTTTTCAGTTTAAAGACACTCAGAAGGTCGTCTGAAGGTTTTTATTGAGTCTTTTGAAGTTCATTCTGTTGACAAAATGTTACATTTAATTCTTCATTTGAAAATATTTTTGCTCAATTTCTATTTTAAATCAAATATTTTCATATACTTATTTCTTTTTAGAGGTTTCTAAATTTTCCTGACAAAAAGATAAATATTTAACAGATTTAATATAGATTATTTATTTAATAATAAATCTTTGAAGTGAACTTGTGCTTCATCATTTTTTCACGCATCAGATTCTGAAACAAGGAAAATTAACTTTATATTATTTGGAATTCTTGAACTACCTGTAACATAAATAAAACTAAATATATTAAATTTGCATAAATACGTCAAACATTTAAAATAAATTCACCACACCTAAAATCAAGCGTCTTCATCTTGAAATTTTATTTTCATTGTAAACTAAAGATATTTTATTCATAACTTTTACTAATTTCATGAAATAATGATTTATTTCCCCCAAAATAAAGTTGAACAATTTTGGATGTTATTTAAATGAAAATAAAGACCTCCAGTGTTTGGTCACATGACGTCATAGAAGCGCTCTGATGGATTTTGAATAAATTAATGCATAACTTAAGCATGTGTCCCATTAATAGAATTTTAGAGTCACTTCTACCAGAGTTTACTTTTTTTGTTGACTTCCTGAGCGGTGTTTTCTTTTCTTTTTTTTAAATGTATATTTCAGAAGGGAAGATGAAGGTGAGAAGTTAATAATAAAGCCGGAGCGACGAGGGAGGGAGGGAGGGATCACAGAAGTTCAGGTGATGTCATGTGACATGTAAAATCCCAGAGTGCATTGGGGTTTGATTTTAGGATAATTTCATCAGCTTTACTGGAGCTAAACTGAGCTGAATGTGTTGGATATCTGATCGTAGTCTGTAGCCGCTGAGGCTCATGGGTATTGTAGTATTTGGATCAATTTCACATTAAAAATGGAAGTAGGATTTTCACATTTGCTAGTGAAAACTTCATTGTATATTATTATAATTATTATTAGAGATTATTGTCTTTAGATTATTTCCGGATTTGTTTATTTCAAGTAATTAATGAGTCTAAAGTTTCCTCTTCTTTGACCTCAAACATGTTCATGTTCCGATCAAGTACGACAACAAAAGCAAAACATCGTCATATTTTAGAAGCTGCAAACCTCACATTTTTCCATAAAGTTTGGAAATTAAATTACAGACTTTATTCATCTGAAATAATGATTTCAAGTTATTTGAAAAGCCATAATGAAGTGTTGCCATTAGTGTTATTTTATAACTTGAACGAGTATTAGTGGGACTTTTGTTTAATTACTGTCAAATAATTTAAATCATGAGCGTCTACTCGTTGGGGGAGAAGGCGTCGGCCTCCCCGCGGGGGTCCACAGGGGGAGACGGGGTCCGGGACCGAGACGGAGGCTCCTCCTCCATCAGCTCCACAGAGTTCTCCCTGACGGTGCTCCTCCGGCTGACGCTGCCTCCGAGGCTCAGGCTCCTCACGGCCCCCCCGCCGCTGCTTCTAGGACCCGGGCTGCTGAACGCCGCCTCCCCCCCGCCACCACGCCTGGGAGAGCACCCGACACATCAGGAGGAAGGTGCAGAGGGAAGGAAGAGGAGGGTGAGAAGGAGGTCGGAGGATAGTTTTAAACCCCCCAGATGAGAAATGTCCAAAGGGAGAAAACTAAAGGGGTCGAGGAAGAAGAAAAGCCCGCTGAGGAAGAGGAGCACGATGCCAGGAGGCTTTGGGACAGTGAGGAGATCAGTAGTGTCTGAGGACACCGGGAGGAGGGAGAGGACATTTAAAAGTCACAAATCATCTCAAGCCTTCAGTTCTCTTCTCATGACACAATGAAATGAAAAGCAGCTCAGACACGTTTCTCTCGCTTCAACTTAAATATAAAATAACTGCAGCTCCAACCACGACGAGAAGAACTCCATCTTTAGTGCACTCTCACCAATGTTGATATGTTTCATATAAATCAGTCCCACTGATTTCTGGTCACATGACTGTTGATCTCAGGTGAATCTATCATGACGTCAAAGTTTCATTGAGCAACTCAGAATTTAACGTTTTTAACAGAATATGATTAAAGTAAAATGTTTATTGTGGACAAGATAAAAAAAAAACTCAAGTATAGCTTTGGCCACTCTCTGTGCTGGAAGATGTGTTCAAGGACCGTCGGAAAGATGGCACTCAGCGGATTATGATTTTTGTGAGCGCCTGCGCGGTTTCGGGGTTAAAAGGGTTTTGTATTACGCCAAAGTGATTGCTGCGCATTACAACATTTGACATCGATGGCTCCTGATTCGCTGTCAGCTGCCGTTTGGCTCCGCCCCCCTTTGGTACCTCAGTTTGCTCCGCATGGAGGCCACGTCTCTGCTCAGAGCGTCGTTGGCCTCGGCCGCCTCGTCCAGCTCCCTCTGCAGCTTCCTGCGAGCCGCCGCCACCCGCTGCGCCTCCTCCTCAGCTTCCTCCAGCTGGTGCTTCAGCTGCTTCACCCGCGCGTTGCCCTTCTCCGCCTGTGGGGGGTGATGCAGAAGAGAAGGAGGTGAGAGGCTGAAGGCGTCATGGAGTTCTGGGGGGGGGTGATTGTCACCTGGTCTTTGTACTGCTGCGCCTGCTTCCTCTCGTCCTCCATCTGGATGCTCAGGTCCTTCAGCTTCTTCTCCTTCTGACGGAGGTTCTTGGCGTTGGCCTGACGCTCTCTGCACAACAGGGCAATGAAACCGCTCAGTGTTCATCAGAATAGTTCATAATAATAACAATAATACAAATCGTTTGTTTCCCACAATGCACTAGTACCTGCTCTCAATCTCCAGCTGCTCCTCCACCTCCCTCAGCTTGAGCTCCAGGGCGGCGATGGAGGCCTTGAGCTTGGACCGGCCCTGGCCCTCCACCTCCTGCAGCTTGGCCTTCAGCTCTCGGTTCTGCCTCTCCAGCTGCTGCCGGGACCCCTCCCGGCTCTGAGAGGTGGAGCGCTCCGCCGCCAGCTCCGCCCCTATCTGGTCCACCTGCGCAAGCAGAGGTCAGGGGCCGGGAACACGGAGCAACGAGCCCCACCTGGCGGTGGAGAACCTACCTGCTGCTGGCTCTTCCTCAGCCGCTCGTTGAGGCTCTCCACGTTGGCCTGCTCCTCCTCCAGCTCCTCCTCCAGCTGGCTGATCTTCGCGTCCAGGCGACGCTTCTCGTCCAACAGCAGAGACCTGATGGAGGAGAAAAGTCTTCTTTTGACCCGCTTTGAAGAATCTGCTCAATATCTACTCATCCCAACAATTAACCAACGATTCATATTCATGTTTTCATAAGTAAGGAGGACAAAAATGGATCAACACCATTTTCAGTTTTATAGTTGATGTTCATGGTGCCCAGAGGATAACTGATAACGGCTGTTTAAATATGCCACTAATCAATAAGTCTCTCTGTAAAAAGTAAATATGTTTATGTCTGAGTGTATTTGTCCCATTTATGTTAATAACATAAAACACCCACTTTCCCGAGTTGCTGGCCAGCTCTTCAGACAGCTCGTCTCTCTCTGCCTCCGCCTGCTTACGAGCTCTCTCAGCAGCTGCCAACATCTGGACAGGAACGAAGTTAAGAAGGTTTTAAAAAACACAAATGATTAATTAATATCTCCCTGGTTTCACGCTTTGTTTGAAAAGTCGTCCTGCAGAATTTAAATGCTGGATTTAATATTTAATAATAATAAATGAATGGGAAATGACGAGCTTTTATTTTGATAGTGTTCAAAGTGTACCTCGTGCAGCTGGACGACATCGGCCTCCACGGCCTTGGTTCGGCGCTCGGACTCCCGGGCTGTTGAGAGGACCTCCTTCTGGGCCGCACGCGAGTCCTCCAGGTCCCTCTGGAGATCCTTCACCTGGCCCTGTGAGGGGCGGAGTTTAAAGTCGGATTCAGGTAAAGGTAAACAGCTTTTGCTAACAGAAGGACGAGTGGACCGGGCCTCACCTGGATCTTGCGCAGCTGCTTGACGGCCTCGTCGCGGCCCCTGCTGGTGGCCTCCAGCTGGTCCTCCAGGTCCTTCATCTCGCCCTCCAGCTTCTTCTTGCTGCCGGCCGTTTGGCTTCGCTGCTTCCTCTCCTCCTCAAGCTCCGCCTCCAGCTCACGCACCTGGCAGAGAGACAGTCGTTTAGCTCTACGCTTCCTTGGAGTCGGATTTCTTTCCCATAGACTTGTATGGGAGCCAAGGAGTCGCCCCCTGCTGGTCAGAATGAAAAGCTGCACCAGCTGCACCTGTTTGAGGAGCTGCTTCCTCTTCTCCTCGCCCATCTCGTCCCGGGCGTGCAGCTCCCTCTCATGCTGCGCCCTCAGGGCCTGAGTGTTGACCTCCAGGCGCAGTTTGGCGTCCTCGGCGACCTGCAGCTCGTCCTCCAGCTCCTCCATCTGCGTTCTCATCTCATCCACCATGGCCTCCAGGCCGCGCTTGGCCTTGTCCAGGTCGTGGACCTGAAGGAGCGTGTCAGGAAGTCAGGAAGTGTTTGAGCCACAAGAATCCCTCTGGGTGTGGAGGAGGGTCTCTTACGCTCTTTCCCACGTCGTCCTTGGAGCTGATGAGGTCCTCCATCTCGCCTCGGAGGGCCTTCACCATTTTCTCGGCCTCCTCCAGAGCGTCCTGGTTCTCCTCCAGCGCTCTGGCCAGAGCCAGCGCCCTCGTCTCCTTCT